TGGCCACATCAGTGACGCAGAGTCCAACACTTCTTCCTCTTAGTCCCTTTTATGGGCCCAAAAGACTCCGAATCCTTCACCTCCCATAATACAACCTGATAGCATATTTCTTTAGACGCTCCCTGACGCCCATGTCCTTCAAACGTCATCCCCCATTTAGTCTCCTGGAATTAAATAAATCCATGTCGGTTAAAACATATGAAAACAATTCATTTCATTTCTTTTTTTTTCTTCAGTCAATACTTTAATTCAGGATTTTCAAAAGATGTGGGCTAAATAATATAAAAGGATGTGTGATACAATATTAATACTCCAAATTTGATATTGAATGCAGCATCATCTTCTTTTTTCTCCAGACATTTTAACCGCTCTGATTTTCGCATTTGGCACTCATCAAACATGACAAGTTATGAATGTGTGTAAATGCCAATGCTTTCGATAAAGAATGGAACGGTGCGCAACACCAAACCTCATATTTACAGTTTCAAAGGATGTTAGTCATACTTGCCTTTTATAAATGGAAAGCCTCGTCAGAACCTGGCATGTATGTGTGTGTGACAGCAGCATCATAGTGCACCCTGCAATTTACATCCTTTTGGGCTGAATTTAAAGTGGTATTACAACATCTCCAAATAGCATCACTCAATTGTGCTTTTCATTGGCAGATAATGTGAAAACTGCTGATGTCGTCATAGTATGTTGTTTACTTGTGGGGTGGGGTCTAGATGTCTGGAGATGGCTGAGCTTGTAGCAGCAGCCCCATTTTTTCAGGAAAGTGTATACTGACTAACTAGAACAATCTAAATCTCTTCAATATATAAAACAAACATTGCAAATGCAACTTTTAAAGAGAAAGTTCAAATGTGTTATTTGTGATACAAGGTGAGACTGGTGTTGACTTAGCTCTGGGGTTAGCATGACGCTGATGTTTACTTTCTAGAAACACATTTCTATAACAGTCAGACCAAAAGCCTCTGTGACAGATAGAGATAGCGTGTGAATAGTGAAATACATCATAGTTAAGGTGTACGGAGAAAGCTGTAAAAAAGTGATACGGTGACTTTAATTGAAATAGTCTAATAAGTCCTAATTCTTCTACTCGATGTTCTGAGTATTTTCTTTATTGGAAAAGTGTTGTGCAGAGTTCCAGCCAGCACATTGCAACATCTTAACTCCCCAGATTAACATTCAGTCGTCATCACACAATGACCTCGATCACTGCACACGGCTGGGGGGGGGGGGGGGGGGGGGTAGGTGGCGACAGAAAAGTTTCAATTAGATGGAATAAGGCCTGGTGCCAAGGTGACGCCACACTTATTAGATGTTTTCACGAGAGAGAGAAAGACCGAGCCGGGTGTGTGTGTGTGTGCTTGTACATATATCTTTGTGAGGACCAATTTGTGTTTTAGACCCTAGACATGATAACAACAAACCTCCAGAAGCCTGTTTGAGATTTGGTTTAAGGTCTGAAACAGGTTTAGATTAGGGTGAGGGAGGGATACCAAATTCACCAACACTAATCATATACAATCAGTTTTTATTTTGCTCGTTTCTGGACATACATTTCAAATTCATTAATACTTTTGTGGAAGATATAATTAACACTACTTACTTACACACTTGGAGGAATATCACAATTCCATGTGATGGATTATTTGTCTAAAGATTTAACTGTCGGAGTACATGCAAAACACTGTTATGATCCTTTCAACCATACACTTTTTTCAGTAATTGGCATGTGTTTAAAATATTATGCAACCTAATGTTCAGTTATGACGTAACACCTTTACTCTTTGGTGTTCAGCTGCAGCTCCTGCGACGTATGAGTGATGCCTCCATATCACACTTCACTAGAACTCTATTGATCTGAAAAGGCAATAAGCCAAAGGTCACTGCCGTTTTGTAACGTCACTGGGCATTTGTTTGATATGCTATGTCAGCTGTTGCAGTATCCCCCTTTGTGCACATTAAACATCATACAAATATGCCTTATAAAGTTACATTTAATAGAATACTTGAATTTAAAATGAAATAAAAGTAGAGATTTTGCATAGAGCCATGTGACACTGTGAGAGAGATCCAGTCTGTGTCCTGGTTTCTAACCAGCGCCGATCAATGGCCAGTATCGATGAGTTCACAGTGTAGTGTGACATCGCAATGTAGGGGGTCAACTTTTAGGGTTTCATTACACACAGTACATCGTGTCTGCGTTGTTGATCAGATTCCCCACCAGGGAAACCATTCAGTCAAAGTTAATGATGCATTAAATATGACAGATCAGTATTATCTTGTGTTTTTTTTTAAATAAGAACCGGAAATGGGGCTGATCCCATGTCACGCGGAGTAAGTAGAGTGACAAAATGAAGAACACGGTTTATTCAGTGTCTATTTCAATGACACTCAAATCATATTCCCTGCAAATCTAATCTGACCACATAACACCTTAATATGGTCAGATAATCTGGATAGAAAGAGGACATGGGAGGTGCTAGAGAGAGGCGGCATACGTGGTGAGAAGACTCACTATGAAAAAAGATGGCGGTAATGAAAGTGGCTTTATGTCGTTTAGCAGAAGAACTCTAAAAATGATCGTCAAGGTAGATCTGTTTCTCTATTTGTTTGGAAATGCTTGCTTATTGTAACCAGTGAGTTGTTAAACAATCAGACAGCTGCTTGTGGTCCGTTTTGCTCAAACCTCAGGGACTATATTTAAATATAATCTACAATGGATGATGGAAGATTCTCACCTGGATGATGAATAACTTTTCTGATATTTTCATTGCTAGGATATCATGTTGCCAAGTTAAAGTTTATATTCATTTGTGATATAAACTACTTTATATTATCAGGAAGCAGTACATATTATAGAACGAGTTGCACGTTTGGTATTGTTTTCATTGTCATTTCATCTGTAGATGAAAGGCTACAAAACATTAGGGCTGCTCAATTAATCGTATTTTAATCGCAATTACGATTTTGGCTTGCAACGACTATGAAAACAACATAATCAAAATAAAACGATTATTTTTATTTTATCAACTTAAAAGTAAGAGGGGAAAAAAAGATGATGATCTGATGAGATGGAAAACATTTAATGCAGCTCTATAGGGGTTTATTAATGACCCTATCTCCACCTGATTGGTTGTGATTATCAATGCCTCTCCCAATATGTCAAATGTGTACTCAATAAAATGCAAAACACTTGTATACCCTCAAAACTATATTCACACAAGTCAAACTAAATCTTGAAGGTAATTGTATTTGGTTTGCCCTCAAGTGTCAACCCGTACATAATATAAGAGTCTGGTGTTGGCTGCAAAGGATCTGGTTTGGTAGAAGGACCGACAAACATTAGAAGATCAAACATTAGAAAACATGTTTCAGCATTTATCACAAAGGAGGCAGGACTGCAGACCAGAAGCTGCTCTGATCGCCTGACACTGTGAAGCTTCACATGTGTTTTCCCACACAGCCCTGCAGGTTCTTATATGAGAAGTTATTTGAGACATTTGTCACCTCGCCAGGATAAGGCTAGCGTACACAAGGACACATTTACCCCTCACATTACACACACACACACACACACACACACACACACACACACACACACACACACACACACACACACACACACACACACACACACACACACACACACACACACACACAACACACACACACACACACACACACACACACACACACATCTCTCATCACCTCCTCCAGCTACTGTCGTCAGTTGTCCAGCGACACTTCAACCCAATCACGGAGATAGCAGACCTGAGAACGTGTTCATTATGTAGCGTTGGCAGGAGCTACAGTAGAGACCTCAAGGTCAGGACTGCCTGCTCACACCTCTGCTCATTAACTGAACATTGAGCAACATAAGCCTTGGAAAGTCTGTCTTTATTATTTCATGGGAAAGACCTTAAAAGATCTCTCGGTTCAATCTGAGTTTACTTCATATATTGTTCCACCATTTACAATTTCTTGTCTAGTTAATAAGGTATTACAACTTTTACTACATTTAGCAGTTTATTAAAAGTTGAGGTACTTTATTTAGTATAATTATGCAAATCCTGGACTGGTTTGCATTCTTTTTACCCAAAGAAAGTACATTTGTTTGAAGTTTTATCGCTTTTTCATGCATTAAATGAGTGGTTTCTCATCTCCCCTCTCATCGCCAGATCTTATGACATCACACCAGCATGATGGTCCACACATTAGTTGACAGTTAAGCAGCAGACTCTTTCAATTACAGTGGCCAAAAGGATGCTGTTTTTGTATTCATGTAGAACACGAGGACATGTTTCAAATTCTAGTGAAAGCAACTCAAGCTAAGCACTGTATTTACAAGTCATCATTTCTAGACGGTTACATTTGTTGGTTTATATCATACAATAGTATATCATACTTTTTCCCACATCATATTCATATCTTCTATGTGTATAAATAGAAACATACTTTATGATATCCTTGCCACCTTCTAAATGTAGTGGCTCTTACGTAAATCCTCAAGGGATTAGTTAGACCACCGGTGAGATTACCAAAATCACGAGCGCAGCTGTAATCCACAGCATATCGCCATCTCCCCTGCAAGACATACGACCTCTTCCCCCCCAACCAGCCCAGTTGATCTCAGTCCTTCATCTGAACTACATTCCCAGTCTCAACATTGGCCCAAGGAAATCCCCTCCAATTCTTCAAGTCTATTGGCTTTAATCCACCAATACCAATGTTTATCAAAGAAAGGTCATCCTGTACCACTTGGTTTCCTAACTGCAGGTCAGTCCTTTTTGGTAACGGGACAGTTTTCTCTATGAACTTACATCCATCAGTACATAGAAATATATTTTGATGAATAACAGCTGCACTTCAGAATGCCCAAGCTTAAAATGGTGTATGCTTTGATACTGATTTCTGCCCTTAAGGTACAGAATTGTTTTCATAAGATAGAAATGGAAAATGATGTTATTATTTCTGTCCTTTTCTCTTCCCAGGCTCCATGCTTTCACATCTGGGCACGTGTTTTCCTTTGTCGTGATGGAATTTGGTTCTTCAAGTGAAAAGGAATGACTAACGCGTCCAGTACCAACGTAAGGACTGAATAAGAGCGTAACTAAAAGGTACATTATACTGTTTACAGTGTGTTTAAGATTTGAATTGATATCAAATGTGAATATATTCAGTGATTTCGAGAGAGAAAGGTCTCTTTTGAGACAAAAGGATAACTACTGAAGCATCTGTTTCAGCCGTTTTAAATGTTTTACCTCGCCTTTAATTGTTATTCTCTTTTTGTTTCAAGACTGTCAAAGGAAAATCAAACGGCAACATCTTGGTAAAGAGTACGGAAAACCAGCAGACTCTTTCCTTGACTTTCCTCCAAAGATCAATGGCTTTACACTGAACATGTGTCATAAAGAGAGGTCAACACATAAGCCAAGATGAACCCTTATGTCACTTCACACTTCAGGAGGGATCTCTTTCCCCATTTCCATTTGTTGTAGACTTTTGTCCTCCCTGCTGTAACTGGTTGAAGAAAATGGCTTCTTTATTTGTACCGTTATAGCAGTGGATTGTACTCACCACAGTGCAGGGTTATGTGTATAGTCTACTTTTCCAACGAGTATGTGAAACTCTGTGTTCTTGTCAGGAATACGTAGAAGAGTTCTCCTGAAATGGTTGGGCACGGTAAATACTAAATATACAAGCATAGCTTTTGATTTTCAGACACATTTTCAAATCAGTTTTCAAGAATTAGGACTTTATATTAAGGAATTTTCTATGCTCATCCATGTTTTTGACAATGACAATCTTCTATTTTGTTTATTGAAATCCTCTCATGTTCAGGTTGCCTTTTTTTACCTAGTTCAAACACCGATGATGAGTACAAACTACAAACCAAAAGCCCACTTACGCTCTCAGCCCCTTTAGTTCGCAGCACTTCTCCTTCTGTGGCACACACCTGATCTATCCACTTTGGTGCCCCGCCTCGATCATAGAACACTTCCTCAGGTGACCTGTATTCTTACCTTTACCTTTAATATGACTTGAAGCTTAAAACTTAAGTAGTGTTGGAGATTGGTCGAAGTAAACTCTCTCTTTTCTTCTCATCCTATCTTTTGTCAGGTAAATGCGATTTCTTAGCCGTAATGCTGAGCTGTAATGAGGTATGTCTGCTCTGAAAGACTAAGTGTAGCAGGTGATAACAGCACTGTAGTTCAGGTCAATATTATTCAGTCAGTAAAACATCCCGCAAAAAAACTGACAATGGCCTTCATACAGATGTATAGACCATTGGAAAGAAAATGTGAAATTGTAAAAGCAGTGACATGATCAAACAGGAAGTAACAAACCAGACATGCCTCTTCAAGTTGGGATGCTCTTGTTGGCCAAAGCTGACATTTCCTTGACAACTGAAATGTAACACTTATTGTTTGTAGTATCCTCAATGCTTTATCAAATATATATTTGCACTGACTAGTCATTGATGATAGTAGGCGTTTGAGTGTACTGAAAGAACTGTACTCTTTGTTTCCTTATGCCCATACCAAGGGGTTGTGAAACTGGAGAAAACTCATTGTAAGAATTGGCATGTTTTTTCTTTCTTTTCTGACTGCATGTTGAACATGTTTTTATCATATCATCCCATTTTAAGTTAATTTCTTGCATTGATCTGTCTTGTATGCATCTTGTCACAGTAAGAACCCTGTATCAAGCTGTATATCCTTTACATGTCATCCTTCAACCTGCTACCCGATTGCATTATCAGTTTAAAGCTTTTGTTACCTTATACCTGCTTGAGGCTTGTTTTGAACTGAACCAATCCTGCATGCTTTCGTGATCAATCAAGCCACACCACTCCTAGACATTATTGTAAACTGTGGGTCACAGTGATAAGACTCCTCGGACTGCTGCTGACATTCTTCTTTTCAGCTCGCTCAGGGAGTATGATTTAAGGATATTTGTTGTTTATTGATGCACCCATGAACCCTACTTCAAGAAAGCCCACACTGTTTGCTGTGGAATCTATTACTGAAAAGATAGAATCTACTGGGAGATACTTACACTTTGGGGAACGTAAGTGACTGATCAATGGTCTTGGAGGGCATTATCCTCTGGTTACCATTTGCCTCTTTGGACTTGCAGTTGTCTCTTCATTAAGGACTGAGAGACGGACTGCATTGTTAGCACTACACACTGAACTGATAGTATCAAGGAGCTTACTTGCACATCAACAATCAAATCAAGGCAACACTGAGGAATACAGTTACTGTTCACCATACGAGGGAGGACACTTTATTATACATGATGGGAGCAGCACGTGTGAAGCGGCGCTTCAGTGCTGTGGTTGATGGGCCAGTGGAGGAGGAGGAGGTCATGAGGCTGGCACAGAGTGCTGCCGATACGGCTGGGGCAGGGGGGAGTCCAACAGGGTCAGCGACCCCAACCAGCCTCTCCCCAACCCATGCCCTAAACGGCATACCTCTACCACTCAAGAGCAACACCAACAATGTACGGAGGCAGAGTGCCATTGGAGTCGGGGGAGATGCAGGAGAAGGCGGGGTGAGAGCAGGAGGAATGTGCTCGGCACTAAGGAGTGCAAGAGGCAGTAGTGTAGGGGGAAGAGGAAAGGTCCGTTCATCCTCGGACCAGGAATCGTTCTCTTCCCCCTCCACTACCAATCGCCGGCGAACTAGGCGCTCCAGCCGCAGGCCCCGACAACGCTTTGTGGGCAAGGACGGACGCTGCAACGTCACCTTCGTCAACATGAGCGAGAGGGGCCAGCGCTACCTCAGCGACCTCTTCACAACCTGTGTGGACATCCGCTGGCGCTGGATGCTTGTCATCTTCACCCTCTCCTTCCTTCTCTCCTGGCTACTCTTTGGATTTGTCTTCTGGCTCATTGCCTCCATGCATGGGGACTTCTCCATTCGACTAACCCCCAGCTCAGGTTCCTCTCCAGGATCAGGAGAGGCCGGGTCCGGAGGAGAGTCTGATAGAGAGGCAGTGGTGGAGGAGAAATGCTTCCTCCAGGTGAACAGCTTCATGGCAGCCTTTCTATTCTCCTTGGAGACGCAGACATCCATTGGTTACGGCTTCAGAAGTGTGACCGAAGAATGTCCCCTGGCGGTGATTGCGGTCATTTTGCAGTGCATTGTGGGCTGCATTATCGACGCCTTCATCATCGGGGCAGTTATGGCAAAGATTGCTAAGCCCAAGAAGCGCAACGAGACACTGGTGTTCTCTGAAACAGCTGTGGTGGCGATGAGGGATGGGAAACTCTGTATGATGTGGAGGGTCGGAAACCTACGCAAGAGCCACCTGGTAGAAGCACATGTTCGAGCACAACTACTGAAGGTAAGTGAAGGGAGATCATTACCATGATAGGAAATGTAGACGCCAGAAAGTTTGGCAATTATCATAGAGGAAAGCTTTTCTATTTTAAGTTACATGATGTCAATTGGAGATGCTAAAACAGACGTAAACCAATTTACCAAAAAGAAAATTCAATTTGTTTAGAGAGATAGCGGTAGAGGGAAAAAGGTTGCAGTGGAGAGAAAAAGAGAGCGCTTAGACCATCTGGCCTGTATTCTGTGGACCGTAGTTAATGAGAGCTTGTTTTATTTCCCCTCAGGGGTTAGGAAGATTTACCATGGATTAACTTGCCCACAATTCTTTAACTGAGAGCCATTGTCCTTCGTCATCTAATTTCCCCTTATGTCTGCTGTATGTGGGTTAGGTGATTGTACTGTGATTATGCTGATGTTTACCATACAGTCTGGGTACTTTTAAAACATGTTTCCTATGTTTCTGAATGTTTGTCATCACCCACGCTGTGTATAACTGTGTTTATGCTGCCAGAGCTGTCCGGACGGTAAACTCTGTGGAATATTGGGACATAGACAATTTGATCCCTTTTAATAGCATGACTATATCAATGTTCACCCTGGGCAGATGGGATTAAGTTTGCGAGGATCAAAGAAATACAATTCTAAATGCTGGGTCTGGATATTGTTCCATAGTAAGAGTTGGGTGAGTGTTAAGCCTATGTATGACTAAAGTAACCTAATACTAAGCTTTTGCGTCAGGTTCAGAAATGTTCTAAAGATGACCTTGGGAAATGGTGTATTTTGAAGTGAATTTAAATGTTCCATTGACAATATTCAAGGTTTCCGATTAATCCCCCGTTTCCTTTACAACTGAGTTGCATTTTATAACCAGAATAAAGGTTTGATTTCACTTCGGTTGATCACGTGACCCCGGCTTCTTGCTAATTTCATTCATATATGAAATAGGTTCTAGCCTTCATTCAATATTTTCCCACATACTGTATGAAAATGTGCAGCATAACAACATGCTATGTCTAAGGCTTAATGTATCAAATTGTGACTTTTCTCCATTCTCAATTTCAGCCACGGGTGACAGAAGAGGGAGAGTTCCTCCCGCTGGACAATATGGACATCAACGTGGGTTTTGATAACGGCACAGACCGCATCTTCTTGGTCTCGCCAGTGACAATAGTCCATGAGATTGATGACGAGTCACCCTTCTTTGAGATCGACCGAAAGACTCTGGAGAATGATTCTGAATTGGAGGTGGTGGTCATACTCGAGGGCATGGTGGAGGCCACAGCCATGACCACACAGTGCCGTAGCTCATATCTGGCTTCTGAAATTACCTGGGGACACCGATTCGAACCAGTGCTCTTCGAGAGAAAAGACTGCTACCAGGTCAGAAAGGAAGTTAGTAGAGATGAACTGTACAGGGGGGGGAAAGGATGTTGCATATTAATTAGGGCATGTCCATTACTTTGGTTTATGGTCTGCAAAATAGAGCTGCAAAGATGAATCGATTAGTAGTCTACTATTCAATGAATCTGTAACAATCTTGATAATAGATTTGTGTAATAATTAATGTATTGTGGACAAAAACTTCAAGTTTCCGAAACAAAGAAAATTGATCAACTTTCTTTTGCATTTACTGACATTTGACCGGATAACTAATCTGACATCCCCATCAGCCACAGTTGCACTTGTTGTACCCATGGTTAGTGCTAAATAGCAAATGTTAGCATGCTAACATATTACACTTAGATGTTGAACACAGAAACTGTACCATTGAATTTCTAAATGTCAATATTATTATTGTGAGAATAACACTGCTATACCCAAATACAGCCTCACAGAGCTGCTAGCCTGGCTTTAGACTCACAACTTGTTACCTTATGCGTATTAAAAAGTCTTCTGACATTTTTCCAGGTGGACTACTCGTTCTTTCATCGGACATATGAGATCCCGGACACCCCTTCATGCAGCGCTAAAGAGTTGGTCAAGCAGAAGTGCATTCACGGCTCACGCTCGTCATTCTGCTATGAGAACGAAGTGGCTCTGGAGCTAATCTCCTCCGATAAAGAGCCTGGCAAAGACCCCGAGTGTCCATCCTCTCCGACCAGAAGGCAATCCCTGGCAGAACATCTCCACTACAACTGAACCTGTAGGACAGGAGGCCTTAAAAGAATAGAGGAGGAAGTTGACCCAGTGGCTTAAAAGACAGGCACATAGAGAGAGGGTAAGACGGGTATAGGAATGGGCAAACCAAGAGAGACAGGATTAAAAGGAAAATAAATCATACGAAGTGGCATTGTTTACTGCAATTGGAGAGGCAAGGAAAGTCTAGAGCAGGAACAAGTCAAGTGATCGCATAGACATTTTAAAATGATCAAGATTGAGATGAGTGCTACTATACAGATTAGATACCTCAGAGACATATTAAGGAAATGGACAGATAGAGAGACAGTGGGAGGTTTTGAGTCACTCTTTTGGAGAGCAGGGTTACTACACTGGTTTAGTTGTCTAATTGGTCCTGGCAATCTTTCACGATCATTGAAAACGTGTCTGCCAAGACTAACATCTGGCCCATCACACCACAACACGCCCACCTGACTCTACTGCCTGTGTGGCACAATATACAAGAGCACCCCACGGTGGCTCTACCATGTAACTGCACCTCCAGTTTTGGGATCTGCTGGCATTGCTGACCTCTGTTTTAGGTCCTTCTGTATGAAATGAATGGAAGTGTACCTTCTGAGGTAGAACTCAGGAATGTAACCCACTATGATGCTGATTTATCATTTATACTGTTATATTTTCATATGGTAAGTATGGATAGTGTATATTTTGTGATACTTTGAGCTTGGGGGAGCTGTTGAGAATATAGTTGAGTGAAGGCTACTTGTAGAGCCAAAGCAGAGCAACAGCATGGACATGGAGAAACAGCTGAAAAGTAGCAGCAATTTTGAGCAGTTTCTTTTCCATGTCATGTTCTTATTTTTGGCTTTTTCTCCTATTTGTAATGCAAAAAAAATGTCAACGATTGTAACATTTGCTTCATTTAATCCAACACTTGTGTTGAGTTGAATGCCATGTGGTCAGAGGAATCATTGTAGCTTTAGTCATTTTCAAACAATGAAAGATGATGTTGTCCAGTTTAGTTAATTAATATAGATTGTTGACGTAATGATGGGGATCGTGGCTTGTCGTTCTTCGTCTTTGAGAAGTAGAGCCTCTTTCTAACATCTGGACAAGTGGATGTGGATTGAACTGGAAAATACACCAGATTAATATAAAAGTATTCAGTATTTTTGTGCCCACTACATTAAATGACCCCCTACTCTAATTCTTGGTTTCTCTAACAAATTGTGAGAACAGTATAGTGAGCGGTGCCTTCTTAACAAACCAGAGATTTTGCAACTGGCCCTTCATCTGCAGTAGTTGATGTTATGTTAATATGAAATGTGCTTAAAGCTTATGTGTGTATTTGCATAATGCTTCTAATGCATGAATGTTTTTTCAATCACTTTGCAGGATGTTGTTCTGAGTAGACAAAAATGCCTATTCTCTGCTCAGTGATAGAGAAGTCTCATTATGAACATAAACTGAGAACATAAAGGGACTTTCAGATGTATTGTATTGGAGACTATGATGTATTTATTTGTTTGCACTTTGTAGTTATATTGCAAAACACTTGGAATGCTCTTGTTTATTTTAGATCTTGTAACCACCAGAGTTTTGAAGTATTTGATTACAGAATGTGTTGGTTAAGGTAACTCAGTGTCAGGAGGAATAAACATGATATTACATGTTGACCAATAATCAGCCTGTCCAACGCACATCCTGGGAACTTGTTCTTTGCACAAAAGTAGTGGGCTATATGGAGACTTGTATCACTAATTAAACATCACAGTAGTGTTGCTGGATCAGCACGTCAACCTCAATGCATCAGTCGCAATGTTTCACTATTATTATTGAAAGATTCTTACCTCAGGGGGGTTTGAGGTGTTTATAACATATTAACTTTTATGAATAGTGTTAATGCTGTTTTAGGTTTGTGTCCTCTCTTACACTTCTCCTTCATGGCTCCATGTACTATTTATAGGAAGCATGGTGGGTCATGTCTCTCACCCTGCCTCCACTTGTAACTTGAACTTTCTGCACCATCACTTTACGATAGCGCTGTTCAAAACCCCAATAACACATAGGTTATTCGGGTTATTTCACTGGTTGATTAGGATTCAACTCTCACACTTTTTATATCATAAGTATGTATAATATACACAGTGTAAAAGACATGATATACATTTTTAATAAATGAATAAGATGAAACAAATATAGGCTGTAGCTAGCTATACTAGGTCAATTTTATAAAGATAAAAGGAAACCTTTCTGCATCACCACTGAAATGTAATTTCAAAACTGCCTCAGACATGGGACACTTCCAAATGAAACTGAACTGTGTTAAAGAGCAAATAAAACACAGGGATTGAATTGCTATTGTTTGCTTCTTCATTGATTTTCCTTAAAGCTACTGATCATTTTAAAACATATCATAGATGTAAAGTGTAATTTATCACCACACTAAACATCTATGTTTGCTGAGGGGCCTATGTGAACTTAAACCTTAACCAAACAATTCAGACAGAATTACAGAATTATACAATGACAATTAACCCTTATAGATTATATTTATCGTGTTGTAACCGGTTGTAACGTATGTCTAAATGACCTATAACCTTTTGCATAACGATTACTGCCGAGAAGTCAGAAGAAGAAAACACACCTTCTGAAAATATTAATAACCCTATAATAATATTTTTCTTATATCATATGGAAAACAAAAAAACGAACCTGCCATTAAAAGGAAAATGGTCATTAACACATAGCCTACACTTCTTTTGCAATTAGTTTTTATAGGAACATTTATCTTTTCCAGAGCCTCATAGGCTTACTTTAGTGACAGGTATTGTTTAATTTGACTGAATAAATAAAAATGAAAAGTTGAGGTATATTGAAGGATAGCCCTGGAACCCTGGTACCCCAGCTACAGTCGGATATTGTGATGTGATCTGTATTACGCGCCTGGGATCAGATCATTCAAAGCTAACCGTCGGTTGTGTTTATTTGGGGATTCAAACAAATCCGATCTGAGATCTGTGTCTGCGGACCCTCACCGCCACTCAGTGGTAAACAAAGGGCGCGCAAATCTCACTACTCTAGCGCGAGAGTGCCGCACAGGCACCTGCTGCAGCGTTCCAATTGGCTGTTTGTCACGTCAGTTACAGCTAGCCACGCCCCCTGTCAGTTATCATTGGCTAATGGCGGAGGTCGTCGCGCTGCTGTTAACGCCATTCGTTGCTGCACCCGTTTCATGCCAGTTGTGGGGCGGAAAGATCCCGTCGTATTCATTAGGCGGGTCTACTGCTCTGTTGTAGCTTTTGATTGGAATATTTGCTATGTAAGGCTTGACTAAAAACCGTCTCCTCGAACCTGGTTGGTCTGCTATCAGGAAGTGTCTCCCGGGCTGAAGCCGTCGCCCTGCCCTCACTGCTCCCTGTTTTATTCTCGCCGAGTGAGTGCGGTCTCCAGCGACAGAGCGGTGCAATGATAAAAGCCGCATATGCGGTGAGCTACACACACCTCTCAGGCAGGAAAATACCCACGAAACAGCCTCACCCCGGTTCTCCTCGCATCACAGCCTTACCCAACACTCTGAGCCGAACCTGAAGGTGAGAGATTTAATTCCCTTTTCTCTAATCCAACTCGTTATTAGCCGGTGTAATATCCTGAACGTATCATATTTCAGAGTAGCTGGCTAACCTCGCTAGGTTGGTCTAAATGCGGTGGCATTACACCCTAATAATGAGACGTATTGGGACAAGAGACATTCAGTTTTCATCACTATGTTCGCTTCCACAGAGGGGCTTACATCCAGACGACCTGAAGTCTGGACATTGAATCTGTCTAATGGCCACATTAGTAGGGATTTCGACCCATATCATTATTATTAAGCCTATTGGCCTACTGTGATCTTTGTGTCACATCATAATAATGGCTATTTTTCTCAGCGAGAATGGCTTTGCTGTTGCTACATGCGGATCACCACCAATTTCAGGCTAGGGCTCATGTGATTGTTCATGTCTTATGTTCAAGGTGTGGTTGCTTTCGTCAGTTTCTCTGCTGTAGTAACAGTCCTAAAATGCAGGTAATGTGTAGGGGTCACTCCGCAGCTATAGTGTAATGCAGCCGCATTGTAATTATCATCATAGCCACAATGGCTTAATAATACCAGCTCACTGTCCGCTAAAGTGCGCATATGACACAATATACCATCACCGATGCAAAGCTGAAGAAAAAAGGCGTCTCCTGTTTGCTCCCCCACCCGTTTAGCACACTCACAATCACGCGCAGGCACCCACACATTTATTACCCACACAGACATATACAGGGGCACACCCCCCACAAGACCCCCCGCATTGAATGTCCTCAGTTCAGACGCTGGAGGTATTGTCTCGTGGGCTGCTGTTGGTGTTGCTATGGAGGAGAGCGGTCAGCTTTTGGCAACTCCAGCTGCTGCAGGATGAGTTTGTGCTGCAGCGACAACCTGTGAGGTGTGTGTGTTTGTGTGTGTGAGTGAGTGAGTGTGAAGCATTTGCTTTAGGTGAATCATTGGCATCAATGGGAGTCAGCAGCAGCAGCCCACACTGCAGCTTAAATGATGACATGCTAAGTCTTGTTTTATTATCACTGTTAAAGCTGAATTAGTAATAAGGGTGATTCATCTAATTGTTTAAAAAACCTAACACAAACCAACAATTAATTCATGATGAAGTCATGTCTGTATAGCCGAAGCCTGATATATAGTTATTCCGATGTACACAGACCTCCACTCTTGTCTAATAACCATTAAACACATCAGTCAGCTAGGAGGCTCTTCAATGGTTAGCCCTAACCCCGGGAGCTGTACAGTAGCTGCCCACTCCTCCTAATACTAGTAGGTTACATACAGAGTATACATTCACTGTGTGCTCTGTGCTATGCATGTGTGTAATAAAACGTTTATTAGATTAATCAATTTCCAATACCTTTGAGAAGAAAACTAGATTATCAATAAGAACCACATACTTGTCCTGGTGAAGTAAATACTCACTACAGTATGAAAATAATTTGCCGAAAGTATTCCCCAACAATTGCCTTTTTACTTATGTTTGCTTTAAAACTATGGTGCCGACAGTTGCACTAAATCAAAAGCCTCAAAACCACATATTTGTATGACCAGCTTCTAAATAACTTTGGTAGAAACACTCAGGTTTACATTCAAAGTAGAGAAGTCTTTCAAATGGACTACCGAATTGCTGGTGTTGGTCTTTTCATTGGATTTGTTGACATTAAGAGAACACTATGGTAAAGCAAGCCTTTAAAATCAGATGCTCAGCTGTTTGATGCCACTGAGGGATCACATATTTTCCATACTGAGTGGCTGGGTGGTGGCAACTCTTTTGTCATCGAGTCGACTCCACACCCTGAGTCGTATTGCAGTAACAGGTATGGTTAAGGCAGGGTTGGGGACCGGGCCCTGTCAGACAGAGCGGAAAAAACTGAGAGTGACATGCATAGCAGGAATCAAGCCAGATGACATACCTGCAGAGGCATGGAGACGCCTAACAGTTAACTGGCCGGCCCAAATACCTGTCTGATCAAAGTTGACACTTGCTTTTACTCAAGCATGCCTCTTCCCCTGAACACCTTGTGTCAACTCTTTCCTCTATGGAATCCAGTATTTTTTCTGTTGTACATTATTTTGATACAAAAAAATAGTTCTTCAATCACTCAAACAGTGTATTAATACATCAGCAATCAGGCATCATTCAGATTTCAGGAGACTGGTTAAACGGTTTCATTCTGAAATTGTAGGCTATGTCTTTCCCGGTTGCCAAAATAAATTCAGATTCATTATCTGGAAGAATTATCTTTCTGTTCTCCTAGAATAAGAGCTGTGTGGAACTGTGTAGTTGCTGTGTAATAAGTCCCTTAGTGAGATTCTAAGCTGCAGGGTTGTTAATAGCCTTGTGCTAACACAAAGAATGTTATTAACTGCATTTTTAATATGATTAACACTCACATTGAGAAGCTGTGACCAGTAAATGATTCCCATTTTTTGTGAAAAACTACGTAAATCACAAATTGATTGTCGAAAGAGCTGATTCTTTAAATAAACTAAATGTTACACCCCTTATTATCTGATGGCAGGTTCTGTCCACGGGTAACAGAAACCATTGAATGGTCCTTATGTGGCTTCCAGATCTAGCAACAACTAACCCATCTGAAACGATGGCACTCCTACTAGCCTCAAAATAAAGTTTTCTCCTCCTTCGAGAGATTTTTCTCTCACAAAATCCCAGCTGAACATTATTTCTTAGTTGTCAGACTAAATCAAGAAACACCTTGTTCTCGCACTACAGTGTCTCTGACTGGAGGATGTCTTGCTGTTTCTTCATGTTCCACTTCTAGCTACTGTCACCTCACTGTGTCTCCTAGCCCTCAGTGGGGGCTTCACTAGAGTTTTATCTCTACTGAGCGGCCCCTAGTAGAAGGAAGGGTGCTTCACTTTCTTTCAGTTAACAATATATTCAGTCCATTTCTTTTCACTGCTACCCCACCCTTTCCTCCTCTTCCTCGCCCTCCCTCCCCCTCTGCCTGTCATGTCAGTTTACTCAGTCGATTGATGTATCTCGCTCTCCCTCCACCTTCCACCCCTCCACCCTCGGATCTCTCTGTCTTCTTCCTCCCTTCTTCTCCTTGATTTGCTGTCTTTCAATTAGGCCATCTCTGACCCAATCTCAGCTGGAAATGGCCTGCATGCAACTTGCGTGCTCACTACTGCTCTTTCTTTATGTGTGGCTGCACATACATTTTGTGTGTGTGTCTTGACACAGAATCACATCAGTGTCCCTGTCCGTCAGTCCTTCATCGTCAGTCATCATCATCAGTGCTCCCGATTTAAGCCAACAAGACAGTAGGCCTGTGAAGAAAAATAATTCTCAACACCGACTCGCTCTTTAATGTTCAACTGTTTTTGTCACTTTTTCTTCCCTCACACAGTGCCAGTAGAACCATGTCCAAGCCAACGGGGGGCGGTGTGAACGATGTCACCCGCTTACTGACATCGGGGGTCACGGCGCCAGGGTCTCCCAAAACTACGATCTCCGCCGCCAGCCAGGCCGACTGGGCGGCTAAGAGGCTGGTGTGGGTGCCGTCAGAGAAGAATGGCTTTGAGGTAAGGCGTGGATTGAAAGAAATAGAGGACATTTTCTTTCCAAAAACTAAACTGATAGTGGAATCCCAGGGCTACAGGAAATATCTTTTTTTTTTCCAACCTGTTTTCCTGTTTCCCACTGCCCTAGTATTAATCCTCTGGTAAATAATAAGCTCAAAGTGCGTCCCTTTGATAGAGGTGTGTCAAACAAGTGAGGCAAAGCAGGTGTGTGTCTTTGTAAGTGTGTGTTATAGAGAGGCGAAGTCCCTCCCTTTCCGGGGGACCTCCATGGGACCTTATTTCGGAAAAAGTATGTATTGAAGTCAATGGCGAGAGAAAGATTATCTTTCGATCCCGTTTGAATTGTGCCACGAGTTACACATATGATGTTTGTCAATTTAAAAGATAATTTTGCAAGTCAAAACAATTAAAATGTGTCGTAAAAATGTGAAGTAACACTTTTTTTTGTGTGAAACCGCTCAATGAACTACATCTCCCGTCTCGCACCACACACCAAGACGGCCGTCACGTTGGCACATTTCACTTCTTTCTTTCAGAATGAGGTGAAAAGTATTAAAAGAGGTGAAAATCACTACAAGTCTGGGCATGTTGAGAGCTGTACAAACACACAAGGGGAGTTAGTCGGTTCGTAAGAGCCAGCATGCGGGACCGGGATTCTGGGATTTGTAGTCTTTCTAGTTGCGTATTTTTCATAGTCTTATATTTCAACAGTTTTACGACAAACTGTGACTTTTTTGACACGGAAATTATTTGTTAAGATTGACAAACATCATATGTGTAATTCATGGCACAATTCAAACGGGATCGAAAGATAATCTTTCTCTCCCCATTGACTTCAATACATAATTTTCCGAAATAAGGTCCCATGGGTCGGAAGTAGATGGGCGGGACTTCGCCTCTCTATTATGTTTTATGAGGTTTCAGCCCTCATGATGATACACTTTATTCCATGCTTTCCTTCATCCTAATAGGTTCCTCAATATGCCTTGTGATGCTCTCTAACACATTTACGACTAATGACTATCACAAGGTCCATGTCATAGTAATGATTTGTTCCACTTATCCTTGGTACTTGTATCATGCACATTAGGAGTTTTATTGGTGCATATTGTAGGATGTGACATGAATTGTGTGTCCTGTCTCTAAGTCTCCTTCTCTCTGCTGGACTGGTTTCATAGAAAGCTCTATGAATAGAACAATACCCTCCTTCAGCCTCTTAATGTTAAAGAGGCCGTTGTAGCACCACTGACTTCATTTTGCACTCATGATCTGAGAATGGCACACACATACCAAATATACGCAATCATAACAAACAGACAGACACACTTTCATCCAGTTTCATAGTCTGAGCATCTAGTTTAATCTGTGACTAATATACACCCACACACGAAAACACAGACATGCACATATTTGATGTGTTCTGTATGCATGTCAAGTAGCAGAGAGAACAAAGTGTAGCAGAGCAGAGTCCTGTGACCTGGTCAGACCCAGAGCGCACTTCCTGTCCGACAAGCACAAGACCGACAGCATGACAAGAGGGTTTCTCTCTTTCTGTCACCATCTATTCTTGTCTGCTGACAAATACAATAACAACTCTCACTTTAAATCTCACTGACAGAGATGCTGTCAAACATTTTTACTAATATATTTCAATATTTGCTTTCTTCAGTAAGCTAGGTTAGTGTAGAGTTAAAAGACTAGACCATTGTTTTTGTGTCTTTTATATAGGGATGAGACTAACTATTAGTTTTATGATACTCTTTTCTAGACTTTGTCAGTCCAAAAAGAAAGGTTTAATAAGATCTAAAAAAAAAGAGAAAAGCTGATAATCTCCAAAATCAAATTAAGTAACACACTTCTTCAATAGATTGATCGATTTTTTATTTTTGTATTATTGCGGGATTGATTTCCTGACTGCATATCTTTAAAAAGGCTTTGCTTTTTAGGACTCTTAATTGTTAAATTGCTGTTGACAATGATTAATCATTGCAGTTCACTGTGGTGTAAAACTCTAAGTAACTCTAAAAACTCATAAATTGTATCTACCTTCAACTCCCATTTGATCTTTTATTAAATCTCCTTCTTCTCCCCCCAGTCGGCCAGTATCCGGGAGGAGCGCGGTGATGAGGTGGAGGTGGAGCTGACGGACAGCCAGAGGAAGGTGACTCTGTCCAGGGAGGAGGTGCAGCGAATGAACCCCCCGCGCTTCAGCAAAGTAGAAGACATGGCCGACCTCACCTGCCTGAACGAAGCCTCTGTGCTGCACAACCTGAGAGAGAGATACTACTCTGGCTTGATCTATGTGAGTGCACAACACAATGAATGCTTAAGGAGGTGAACAAGTTCAGGACATATAACTAATAATGAAGCTGTGTACACGGTACTCACAAGAATGTTCCCAAACATTTTTGCGTGCACATTCCCTGTGACGTACATGCACGTGTTCGCTCCTCTGGCATCTCCTGTGTAACTGATAGGGGGGGGGGGGGGGGGGTTGAGAGAGGAGAAGGGTCAGTTTACAAAGTTGTTCATGTGTGTGTCGTCGCAGTGGGAGGCATCTCCAGTTTCTCCTGCAGAAAAGGAGTACAAGAGTGCAAAGAAGAGATATGAGTAGGATAGTATAGTTGGGAAGATAGTGATGTAAGCCAATGACAACTGAGATACACAGTTTAGTAAAGTACAATTATAAATCGGCTTTAAATAGAGTTGGGCTGGCTGTACACTGGTTAATTGATGGATGATGATGCGGAGGGGAAGGTTTAAGAGAGGAGTGGTGATAGATTGTTGGAATAGCTTTGAGAGGCGTGTTACAATATGATAAGATAAGTGCTATAGAGTGCCACATGTCTTTATCATGTCTTTCACTACAGTTGGAAGGCACACACACAGTGTATAGGGAAGCCGTGTAGAAAATAGCTGGCCCCATTTATTTACATTAAACCTGCTCAATATATATACTGTATATATATTACTATTTCATTAATTACACTGTTACTTTACATTGTAAAATACAGGTCAATGTTGGATAAAAGAATGTTGGAAATATTTTCCTTTCAATTAAACAATTTTTTTCTGTATTTAAGCAGTACTAGTGCTACATAAAGTGCAAGAGGAGATGCCCCTGTGTTAAAGTGCATTTAGTGTTGATTGCACGTCTGGTTGTTTCTCAACCATTCTTTGAGTTGACCTTTGAAACTATGTGGGACAATCCTGTATCTCAGTTGGGAGGCTATTCCACAATGAGCTGCCTTTAATGGAAAGGACATTTTGTCCAAAAGTGGTCCGTCTGCGGTGGACTTCACAGTCTCCTCTGGTTTCTGACCTAGTGCAGCGTCCAGTGTGTTTTTTGTGGATGAATTCCCCTAAGGGGGGGGGGCAGTCCATGTAAACATTTATTAAAAAAACACATACTTTTAAAGACTTAAAATTGTCAAAACTCAAGAAATTGTGTTTTTCAAGGATGGTACAGTGGTGGTATGAATTTGTCTTTCTGTCAAAAACCGGTCGTTTACTGAACATCATGCATACTGTTTTTGTTCAGCCAGTGTTGAACCTTGTCCAAAGCATTTGAGAGACAGGATGTGATTATTTCAGTATTTTCCCGTGTACAAAGATGACCGCATCATCGGCATGCATTTGTACATTCAAATCAGGACATACATTAGGCAAGTCATTAATGTACAGAGAAAACAGTAATGGTCCAAGAATGGAATCTTGTGGAACCCCAACAGGGTTCACAAGGTAGGGGGATTTGGCTCCGTTGACCAAAACACACTGTTTTCTGTTCGATATTGAATCTGCCGAAAAATGTAAATACATCAGCTTTGTAAGGAGCACTTGGTGGTCAACAGTGTCAAAAGCCTTCCTGAGATCAAGGAAGACAGCACCTACATATGGGCTCGTGTCCAACATACACTTAACCTTTTCCACAAAGACACAGTTAGCTGTCTCAGTGGAGTGGTGAGCACGAAAACCAAACTGCATTGGGTGGAGTGGAGCGAAACCTTTATCTAAGTGTTTGGTGATTAGTTTTGACACCCATTTCTCAGCTACCTTAGAGACACAGGGGAGGATGCTGATTGGTCTGTAATTGGACATCATTGCCTTATCCCCAGATTTAAAGATCGGTGTCACCGTGGCCACCTTCCAGGACGATGGAACTTCCCTCGTGCTGATAGATTGATTTACTAACATAGTAATTGGTTTTATTAGACCGTCGATATGTGTTTTTATAAAGTTGGTGTCTAAATCATCTGCATCCCTAGCCTTAGAACCTCTTAACCCTAAGATTATATGTTTCACCTCCACCTCTGTGATTTCCTCCAGGTCAAAAACGGGGTGTGTATCCACAGTCGGGCTAGGTGAGACCTTAGATGGCGGGAAGAGCTTTGTGATGTGACTTTAACTTTAACTATATATATTTATTTGTTGTTCTTTTCTTTTCACTATATCTGAATAGTCTTTGAGCACATGTAAAAGCGCTAACAAAATAAATCTATTATTATTATTATGTCCAGAGCACTATTTATGAAATACTCATTTAGAGAGCTGGCCAACACGGCAGGGTCTTTTATCAGGGCATCATTGATTTTTAATTCTATGTTTACCTAATAGTTTATTTAAGATTTGCCAAACTTTTTTACCGTTACCTTTCACACCTTCAATTATGATGATGAAAAAGTTTGCTTTGGCCTGTCTTATTGTTTGTGTTACTTGGCATGAGTACATTTCTGTCTGTCAGTGGATAGTCTGGATTTTACGCTCTGCTTTAATAGTTGGTCTCTAGATTTAATTAAATTCCTGCACTGTAGATTCAGCCAGGGAAGATGATGTTCCTTCCTGTCCCTAACTGCCCTCTCCTTGAGAATGAAGACATTGTATCATTAATTTTAGATATAAACAGATTACTGTTTTCACCAATGTCTTCAGAGGACAGAGTGTCCCCCCAATTAATCATTTTCACTGCCTCCATAAAACGTTGTTGCAGGTTTTTGGGGATGAAGCGTGAAGCCAAGGCAGGGGTTTTAGGTGTGGCCATGAACCTTTTTTTTGTGAGTTTCCTGGCAAAAAGAACAAGATTATGGTCAGAAAGATCAGTCAGGAAGTTGTAGGTTTTAACTATTCTGTCAGCTTTGTTTGTAAATAATAAATGTATTCTAGTCTTGGAGGTTTTGGTTATTCTAGTCGGTTGATCCATTAGTTGTATTAAGTTGTGTTTATCCGTGATCCGTTTTAAGTATCCATTCCAGTTGATATTAAAGTCTCCTACAATAATTAGCTCTTTGTTGGAGTCACAGGAATTCAGCAGGAGTTTTACCTGGTCATAGAAATACACCTTAGCGGTGGGTTGTCGATACAGGCAAATCATGGTGAGGGACATTTCCTCAGATAGTGGGATTTCCACACCAACACAATCAAACTCAATATTAGCTGGGAGTGCAATCTCCCTACAAGTAAATTCCTCACATAAAGCAACACCCCCCCTCCTTTTCCCTTCAGTCTGTCCTTCCTAAACACATTATATCCTGACATAGATACAAGAGTGGATGGTGACGACTGTTTTAGCCAAGATTCAGATATTCCCAAACAGTCAATATTGGACTCAAGGAGGAGATGTTCTAGCTGTTCATGTTTATTGCAGATGCTGCGGAAATGTAAATGTCCACTGAATAGTCCCTTCGGCTTGCACCGAGGATCCCACACTATTTTAGCTTGATTCACTGTTTGAAACATTTTTGTGCAACGGTGTTTTTTTAAATACAGGATTTCTAGGCTTTACCTCGGTGCCGTTGTTGCCAGTGGAGCAGTGAAAGCTAGCTGGTATTTTATGGATCTCTGCCGCTAGGCTGCTAGCCATCTATAAGCAGCAGAAAGGCAGAGCTGAGTAGATGTTTAATATTAGTTTATTTTTTACAAGCAATATTCTTCACAGGATATTCAACATTATTGCATAAGCTCCTCATATCATGCAGCACTCATTTACATGAGCCAACTGTCGTATAGAAGAACTGCTGACTACAGCCATCTTCACTGTAACCATGTGTGTGTATGTTATGATATGACGTGTCAGTGGTCAGTCTTTAAATAGCTGAACATTTTTACCTTGAACGAAATTAGTTTAATTGACAGTTCCATGAATGTTCAGATGTTGAGGTGTTTACCGTATCACTATAAGTAATCTTGGACAATGCTGCTCACCGGCATAATATATTGAATCATGTAAATGACAGATTTGCATTGATTGCTTAACGCTTGGTTTACTGCGGTGCTTCTTTTTTTTTGCTGAAGCAATGTTTTAATAAGAGAATGCTACTCCTGCAGTTATCAAACAGGAGAGGCTAAACCACCCACAGTTATTGACCGTCTTCTTGATTCAACCACGAACCATTTAACTCTAGTGACTGAGCATCTGCAGAGAGAGAGTTATCCAACAGACAAAACAATACTGATGCCGAAATAAAGCCATTCGTGGAGTTCACGATGAGAATATGTTAATCTCTCTGCTCTGTGTGTTTCTCCAGACATATTCAGGGCTCTTCTGTGTGGTGGTCAACCCTTACAAGAACCTGCCCATCTACACAGAGTCCATCGTGGACATGTACCGGGGCAAAAAACGCCACGAGATGCCCCCTCACATCTACGCCATATCAGAGGCCGCCTATCGCAGCATGCTACAAGGTATTCTACACTATCTATGAACTCTGACTCCTGACTACCTCTGACACTTACCCAACCCATACACTATGTTTCTGCTCAGCTGGCTTACAACGCAGCACAGAATCCCCTCTGTGATCTTTGATCGCTAAGCCACACCATAAATGTAAAGGTGTGGTCGTGTGACTGTTATCAAACGTCTTTAAAAGTAAAAACTAGGCAAGACTGAATTTTGTACGTAACAGAGACTTCTAGGTGTGGCACAGTGAGGATTGTAACGAGGTGATGTGTATTTGTTGTGGTGATGATAGTAGGCACTTATTACACTCCTGACAACTTGCGTGACAGACATGTTTCTGGGCCATTCCTGGCTCATGAGAGAGTGAATTCCCAGCAACCACCAAAAAGCAGTTAAGGATTGAGCAACGTCTCTGCCTCAGGATGTTTTACTAAGAGAACAGGACAGAGGAGGCTCTGTGTCTGTGTATGAGGGTAGCTTATAGGTGTGTTTCCACACTGATCCAACCAGTAGGACCAGTATGAATTATTCTAGACTGAACATGTGGGAATCTTAACTAATACGAGGTAATGTTTGAACTATGTCCACCCATTTCCTAGCAGTGCTGTGTGGTTTGTCTGGTGACCTGCTTCTCTCTACGTGATCATTAGTGGCAGAGTGACTGACATGCCAGAGTCAGAGCACAGTCAGGGATATATGCACAGTAGCAGTGAGCTAGAGGGCTAATAGCACATATAATACAGTGCTAATTAAAAACCTGTGGTGCGAGTAGGCATGGGACGATATGTAAATCATGTCACGTTTCTCCTGGCCAAGATATCCCACTTTTATTATAAACCCCTTTACTCCTATACAGCACTGTACACTGTGTTATTTCAAGTCATCTCATGTCAACATGCATAGTCTTTCAAATAAGCAGAGTCGGGATCCTTGAGGCTGTTTAATGTTAATTTCTTGTCAGCATTGTATTAAACCACATGTTTAACACTCATCTTTCTATATATATGTCACTCATTTGTCCTCACATTGTTTTTCTCTCACAGACAGAGAAGATCAGGCAATCCTCTGCACGTGAGTAGCCTGCTGTAGGACGCCAGTGTTTGTGTGTGACTGTGAAGGCTTTGTACTTTACCGTCAGGAGAATCTTTGTGCGGGTCACAATGAGACTGCCTCTGTTGGAGTGTGTGTGTTTTAGTGTGTGCTAATTTGTTTGTATTGGTGCCTCCATGTGCACATATGCATTCAGTTGTTACAGAGTAAGTATTATAAGAATTATTTGTATTCAAATTTTGATCAGATCTAGGACAGCATATTGTCATAAGTGGGAGGTGGCGCCTATTATTCCAATTAGATCTCTAAGACACTCTTCAATCTGCAAACTGAAGCAAGATAGTTCTTTGACAAAATTATTTTTAAAAAACTCCTACATTTGTGACTTTATAATCTCAGAAAATAAGTGTTATTCTTGTTAATGTAGAAGAATAGAATTGGGAGGGATGAAACCCTCTTTAATGGTCACACATGCAGAGCACACACAGTGACATTTGGCCTCTGCATTTAACCCATCCTAGTACCAGGAGTCTAGTACTAGGAGCAGTGGGCAGCTATGGTACAGCTATTGTACAGCGCCTGGGGAGCAATGGGAGTGAGGGGGGAAGGAGGGTGTCCGGTGCCTTGCTCAAGGGCACCACGGCATGGCATGAGGTGAACTGCGACCTCTCCAAGTAGCAGTCCACACTCCATATTTTAGGTCTGGTCGGGGACTTGAACCGGCAACCCTACAGCTCCCAGTCCAAGCCCCTACTGACTGAGCCACTGCCGGACATTGGATGTTAATATCTAAAAATTTGTGTTTTTCTGTCATTATAATACAGATGAATAAGGGACTGCCTCTTTAATTCGTCTCTGACACCAAAATCATACATCTAAAATTCTACCTTAAGTACTTTTTGGCCTTCTTAACCGTGTATCATTTGTTGCAGATATTCATAGTTAATGTGCGATAAGACTCTTTTAAATGCACAATTACATATACAGGACATATCAATGTGCACACTGATCTTTGGTAGGGGCCGTTCTCAAACAGGAATTCAAAGAATCAGGACAGAAAATAAAAGATGTCTTGCCTGTAATGTGAATGCCTCCTCCTGTCTGTTTGTGCCCATGCTTTGTCTACCTACTCTCAATCCACCTCCTTGTCATCATGTCTTCCTGCCAGACTCTTCCTGTCATTGTCAAGGATCCCACTTCCACCTTAAATCAGTGTATTTGGGACGAGGCGTCTGCTCGGCTCCTTTTAGATCTTTTACAGCTGCTATTTTTACCCCATGCTCCTTCGGTCTTCTCCAAAAGCAACAATACTGACGCTGCCTGTATCCTCCACACCTGCTTTCTGTTTAGACCTGTGGCTTTGAATGCACTGCATGGGCCCTATAGTTATTGGTGTGATGAATGAGAGTTAGGCCATTTGTTCCTGTGTGTTCTCTGTCTTTAAAATGCATATACCATTCATAATTGAGACCATATGTGTTTTGATGGAACATTGTGTAAAGAGAATGTTTTTTATTCTGTGTGTTACTAACTTGCTTGTGTGTGTGTTTGTGTTCCAGAGGCGAGTCTGGAGCTGGGAAAACAGAGAACACTAAGAAAGTCATCCAGTATATGGCTCACGTTGCCTCTTCCCATAAGGGAGGCACTCTGGGAAGAAACAAGGAAGCTGTACAGGTAAGTCCCAGCAGAGACACCACAGAAGTCTGACTAAAAGAAGAGCAGCTGAAGAAACAACATACACAGGGAAGAGCGGCCTTTTAGAAACATTAATGAGGAATAACAGGAACAATAGAGAGTGTGAAAAAGGAGCTTTAAGGGGGTACAGAAATAGGGTGATGTACATGTAAAGAAATAGGAAGAAGGTTCAGGCTGTAGGAAAGGAATAACAAAAGCACATCTCCCCAAATGTTACTCATCTAACCTAATATAACTCGCCTTGTTCCAGTGCTTTCAGTGGTGGATGATTTATTTCAAAGTTCCCTTGAACCTCAATCACTTTCCTCTTTATTATTTATTTATTTTACAAATCTTTTTATTGCAAACAAGTCATAATCCAGCAAATGACAAGAAGTAAGAACAGTAATAATCAATACAAAACAGTACAGATGTTACAATTAGCAAATGAAGACAATGGGGATCGTTACAAAGGACCTCCTTGAAAATCAAATAAAATTATGTATTGCTCCATATTCACTTCAGGGTTCGTAGAGAGTCCTTGTTTACAGTTTTGTTCTTTCATTTAACCCCCCCACCCCCCACCCCCTTTCCTCTTTATTATTCACACTAACTTATTCTTATGATCATAAGACACTATGGGTTTTCCTGCGGGTGCAGTTATCTTACCTCACATGCCTCTATCAATCAGTCCTGATTTCTGCATTTTCTCAGCAAGTTTCCTTACCCTTCTTCCTGCACTTGTTTCCCCTCATTCTCCTCTCTCTGCACTGCGGCTCTCTCTTTTCTGCATGTTCAGATGGACGGCTCTAGGTCTTTAACAAGAGGCTGTACTTTGGTGAACAGGGTGAGTTAACTCTTTCCTGCTGTCCTGTGCTTTGGTCCCATCCTGTTTCCTGCTTAATGAACTGACTAACAGAGTAAACCTTTAACTGTCAGTACTGATGTGGTTCCTAATAACAGTTGAGCCTTGTACACTTTATTTGATGATGTGTGTTTGTAACCCCATTAACTGTTGTGGTTGTTATTGTTGTCTTATTTGTCTTTTTTTTGTTTATCCCATCCAACCATTCTCCTCCCTCCTAAAACCTAATATCCCCCTCGTCAGAGCATGCAATATGTGAGTATGAGAGTATTTAGAGACATTGGGGGTGATGCATTGTAGAAATGTCTATGTAGAAAATGCTAAAATGATTCTCTTGATACATGACGAGAATCATGTCTTCTGCGCTTAGCGCTGAATGAGCCCTGGCTTTTTGGATGTGTAGTTTTGGCAACAAAAACAACTCTTAGCGCGCTGATGTTTGGCTTCACATTTACAGTGACTTGTAAATGTCACAGGTTTTTATGTTGCTATAAAAATGTAAGAAAATTCTGATGTAAATTACATCAACTGAACAGTGTGTGTGTGTGTGTGTAATCTGAATAAGTGCAGATTCAGGTGAGTAAGTGTGTGTGTTGTTGCACCAGTGTGTGTGTTTGTGTGTGTGTGTGTAGCAAGTCAACAAGTTTACACATTTAAATATGTGGTTTTGATCACATATGCACAATAAAATGTGCTGAACTCCTGCTGTGTGTGTGTGTGTGTGTGTGTGTAGTGCGTGTGTGCACGCGTGTGTGCGTGCAGAGGTATGTGCCTTTGGTGTTGGCTTGTCTGCATTCCTATACATCCAGTAGCTACAGTAGCTCCCCATCACTGGCTGCAGCAGCTGCTGATGCTGCATCAACAGCTGCTGCATTGGCAATGCGACAACATAAAGTAATGCATTGCAGCTAGAACCAGCCAATATGTAGCTTGTGTATGATAGCATCTAAATCTGCGGCTTCCCTCGGCCCATGTTTTTCTGCAACAGTGGTTCTCAACCGACTCTTGATAGATTGCCTTTTAATAATGTAGGCAATCACATTTTAATGAATTAAATATGAAACATGATTGATGCCCTTATTGATTGCTAAACTGATGAGGGCCTATTATCTTTATTGATGTTGAGAATCATTTGTTCCCGGGTCTGGGGATGGTGTGTTTGCAGATGCTTTTCTGGGCCCTTAATTGCACCATTTTCTGCCACCGCTCAGTAGTAACTTTAGGAAGAGCATGGTTATATGGTGCATTTTAGTTGATGGATGGGCCCTATGGAAGTATTTTGTGGAGGCTGTTGTCTTTGTTGTGCTGTGAATCTGATCTGACGTCCCCTGTGTGTCTCAGGGCGAGCTGGAGAGACAGCTGCTGCAGGCCAACCCCATCCTGGAGGCCTTCGGCAACGCAAAGACTGTCAAGAACGACAACTCCTCTAGATTTGTAAGAGCAAACAAGATACATTGCACCAACAGATATATGTTTATATTTATATATTTATATTACCTCCCTTCATTATTGTCCATTTGATGATTTACTGTACAATTGAAATGAAACATAAAACCTCTCTTTCTTTGTTTTTCAGGGTAAATTCATCCGCATTAATTTTGATGTGGCGGGGTACATTGTTGGGGCCAACATCGAAACCTGTATCCTTTTTCATACTATCTTTGAAAGATTGATTTCCTCTTGCTGTCTAAGTTAGCTGATATATGCAGAGAGTATTTAGGCGAAAAGACTTCAGACCCAAGGTGCTTTCTGAAACCTATGGAAGTACTAGATCATAGGTTGTTTTAATATCACATATACATTCATATTACATATGCTATATTCAGATTTTAAAAGCTAAACGTGGAAAAGGACAGAGGGAAAATATATCTAGTTTCAGCTGTATATTTCCATGACCATATAAATCCAGACCTCCTGGAAAAGTCCCGGGCCACCCGTCAGGCCAAAGACGAGAGGACGTTCCACATCTTTTACCAGCTTCTGTGTGGAACTTCTGAAGAGACAAAAGGTGAGCCAAATGACAATAGTTGCAAACATGTGAATACACAGTAAATTGCTGCTATACTACAAAACATACTGTATGTGTTTCTGCAGAACATGTATCTTTGTCCTGTACTTATTGATGTTGTTAGCGCTTAAATCAATCACTCTGTTTAACCTTTATTTTCCCTTACATAGCGGACCTGCTTTTAGGAACTGCTGATCAGTACCGCTTTCTCAGCGGAGGCTCCATCCCTGTCACTGGTCAGAGCGATGCAGACAACTTCACCCAGACCATGGACTCCATGGTTATAATGGGCTTCACCCCAGAGGAGTCGCTATGTAAGAGAGGAGGCGATGGAGAGGAGAGAAAGTTGTTTGCTTTTTGCACATTTGATCCCTGCTATTAATCACCTTCCCCCTCCCTGTCTCACCTCTCCTCAGCCATGCTGAAGGTGATCTCCTCTGTGCTCCAGTTGGGGAACATTTCCTTCATGAAGGAGAAGCACCACGATCAGGCTTCGATGCCTGATAACACAGCCGCTCAGAAACTGTGCCATCTGCTGGGCATCAACGTGCTGGAGTTCACCCGGGCCATCCTCACTCCCAGAATCAAAGTGGGTCGAGAGTATGTGCAGAAGGCCCAGACCAAAGAACAGGTACGATTTGTGTGCATATGTGTTTTTGCTCTTACAGATAAACATGTTTTTGTCTATGAAGTGTATCTGACAAAGTACCCTTCCTCATCTAGGCTGACTTTGCTGTGGAGGCCTTAGCGAAGGCTTCATATGAGCGTCTGTTCAGATGGCTGGTCCACAGGATCAACAGAGCTCTGGACCGCAGGCAGAGGCAGGGAGCCTCCTTCATAGGTATCCTGGATATCGCTGGATTTGAGATCTTCCAGGTTTGTACATATAATGATTGTTAGTTTGATGTAAATTATTTTAAAAAACATCATGAAGTATGATCAATTGTTCTGATATATTTGTTATAAGGCCTGTTTCCTTTGTATTTCAAAATGTTTTAAGGACCTGTTACAATGAGTATCAGATCGCGGATAGCGTTAGAAGCATGTAGATGTGTGGATCGTCAGTGTATTGTCAAACGTTGTCTAACAAGCGTTTTCTATCATAGTTAACATTACATTTCTCCTTTCATAAATTGCTCCTCTGCAGCTGAACTCCTTTGAGCAGCTGTGCATCAACTACACCAACGAGAAGCTGCAGCAGCTCTTCAACCACACCATGTTCATCCTGGAGCAGGAGGAGTACCAGCGGGAGGGCATCGAGTGGAACTTCATCGACTTCGGCCTTGACTTACAGCCGTGCATTGACCTCATCGAGAAACCAGTGAATACACATATTAATACTTTTACAATTTGAATGACAGATGCTAAGGGTCTATAATGGTCATATAAGTTATGTGCATTGTTTGGTGAGTGTGGGGAGTTCCAGATTGAACCTGTGGGACATAGAACCTGTTCACTTCACCACAGTCAACCACACCCATGGATGAAGAAGGCAAAGTGGATAAAAGGACATGAATAGAAACACAAACATAGTGGGCACACACACTCTGCTTTGAGGCATTGTTATTTGAACTATAAAGTCCAGATTTCACTCACAATAAATGTCTCCGTTAGGCCCACCCGCCTGGTGTGCTGGCGCTGCTGGATGAAGAGTGCTGGTTTCCCCGGGCAACCGACCGCTCATTTGTGGAGAAGGTGTCCGCTGAGCAAGGCACCCATCCGAAATTCTTCAAACCAAAGCAACCACGCGGGGAAGCAGACTTCTCCATCATTCACTATGCTGGCAAGGTATCCCATCATTTCTTCACATCTTTCCGTGTTTACCGTATTTACCATTCAAAGGAATGCACTGAAATGTCCCCTGCCCTCCGTAATGTCTCTCAGGTGGACTACAAGGCACATGATTGGTTAGTGAAAAACATGGACCCTCTGAACGACAACGTGGCGTCTCTTCTCCACCAGTCGTCTGATCACTTTGTCTCAGAGCTTTGGAAGGAGGGTGAGACTGGTTCACGTTTATTCATAATCATGTACAGTAAACCTATAATCTGTACACTTCATGTAAACATTTAAAAAAGTGTACTTTTAACAACAATATAATACATTTCTGTTTTCTTTATTTTATGCAGGCTTGTCAAGTATAAACAATGTATTTTTTGGTGCAAAATGTTCTAACTTTACGGTATTTCTTTCTCTTCTCTTTCTCTATCCTGTAACTCTTCCATCTATCATGCCATGCTGGCTCTCACTCTCTGCTCCTCTCTCTGTTATTCCTCCTTCTTGTTTTCTCCTGTGTTCACTTCTCTGGTCTTTTTTCCTTCTGTCCCCTTTCCACTCATTTGGTGCTTGCTTTGACTCCTTGTTTCCTTTCCTCTTCTGCCTTCCTTCCTTCTTCCTGCATCAGATATTCAAACTCTTCCTCGTGTATACTTCTTTGATTCCTTTGCCACAATCCAGGCTAATGGCTCCGACAGTAGGTTTTTCTCCTCCTCTGTGTCACACTCACATTCCTCACTCCCACCTCTGCTAACATGACTCCTTTGTTTAACTGTCTGTCCGCTGTTAGATTGCAGTTTGTGTTTAGTTGTGCTGTGGTGTCACGAGCTGTTACATGTAGTTAATTATTGTTTTGTATCGTCACTGTGCTGTCTGCTCAGTTCTCTCTTTGCTCTTCACCAAGTTTTGCTTTTAGTGACAGTGCTGTGTTTGTGTGATCTAGTTTTTTCCATGTCTAGAGTAGAAGTAATGAATCTAGGCTGTGTAGAAATGTCCAGGTAAAGGTAGCAGCATGCTCACGGTTAGTCACAAAAATCCCACTCAGGATCACATAAGAGTTGTGCTGCAAAATGCGTCCACAAACATCTGCCACTGGAGCGGCTTTATGAAAACCAACCAGGCAGAAATGTGATCCTGAATGAGCTCTGGAGATGCAACATATTGGTATACAATACTACCATTTAAAGAGTTTTAAAAGCCACCTCAGTATTGGTCTAATAGTTTTTATATTGTAAATATTTGGCTAATTGTGGAATTTCCTACATTGTTCTTAGAGTAAATTGCAAAAACAAACCTGTCAAATAAGGATCGACTGAATTATGAGACAAATTTGCAGGTCATGCCTGTCGAGACATGTTAAAACAAACAGGTGAACCTTAACCCGTGTTAAGACTGTATGTGTATTTCACTGGCCAATATGGGTGAGCAAATATAAACTGCTGTCATTGAATTTAACACAATATTGTTGCATCTCTAATGAACTCCTCTACCATCTGATATCATCTGTGCAGAGACTTGATAGCAGATGTGTGAGTACTAGTTGATAGCCACTACGTTAGTGTGGCATTAACACAGACATCATCATGCCAAATCTGGCAAACACTCTTTTTGACTCCACTAAACTGAGGCCCCGCTCTATGTTTGCGTCCAGTGGACAGGATCGTGAGTCTGGACCAGGTGTCGACAGGCGACAGCAGCGGGCCGGTCTCGTTCGGAGGGTCAGGCCTGAAGACGAAGAAGGGGATGTTCAGGACCGTTGGTCAGCTGTACAAAGAGTCTCTCACAAAGCTGATGGCCACACTGAGGAACACCAACCCCAACTTCCTCCGCTGCATCATCCCCAACCACGAGAAGAAGGTAAGAAAAAGGATAGGCATGTCAACACAGATTTAAACCAAAACAGACAAATAGCAGGTGGAAAAAATAAGAAATGTTTGATTTAAAATGTCCATTCTTGTACCTTTTAATTGTGGTCAGGCGGGTAAGCTGGCCCCTAACCTGGTTTTGGACCAACTGAGGTGTAATGGAGTTCTGGAGGGGATCCGTATCTGCAGACAAGGCTTCCCTAACCGCATCCCATTCCAGGAGTTCAGACAGAGGTGTGTGTGATTGTATGTGAGCCCTTCCTATGGCTCCTGTTAATTACACTTTTTACCTCCGACTTATTTCCTTCACTCAAACACTCATATTTACAAAACCACATTTGTCTTCCAGATATGAGATCCTGACTCCTAATGCTATTCCTCGCACCTTCATGGATGGCAAACAGGCATCAGAGCTCATGGTGAGTTACGGTTCTGGAGCTATGAGAATACAACTTACTATATAAAGATTGAAATGCTGGAAAACTCCAACCACTGTTTCCTTGTTCAGATCAAAGCGTTGGAGCTGGATCTCAACCTGTTCAGGGTCGGTCAGAGTAAAGTCTTCTTCAGAGCTGGAGTCCTGGCTCATCTGGAGGAAGAGAGAGACCTGAAGATCACAGACACCATCATTCGCTTCCAGAGCGCCTCCAGAGGCTACCTCGCTCGCAAGTAAGAGCATTATCTCATTTCAAACATCAGCAAAGAGAGAGAGGCTAAAATGTTGTTCCTGTTGGAGCAGAAAGCTTACACATCTTCCGGTGCAGACTGAAAACTCATCTCTTTTGACTCCACTTCGAGCAATAGAATTACTAACAAAGCACTTATACTAATAAAGGACTGGCTTATCTAAAGCTAGTTGAGTAGCACTTGTTTTGGCTCTATGAAACCTGATGTACTTATTATATGATCTTCTTCAAGTTTGTATCTTCTTGGTCGAATGCACTTATTCAGTCGCTCTGGATAAAAGCGTCAGCTAAATGCAAAGTAATGTTGGTGTAACACATTGATTGCCTTTGTTTATTTATTATCAGCTAGTCAGTTTCTTACCGAATCAATCTTAATGGATAGTGGTAGACAAACATCTACTGTAGCACACTAGGGATTTCTCTCTAAGGAGAACTCGCTGCTAATCTGGAGGCAGGTTTGTGTTTCCCTCTTAAAGGAGCATTAATATTTAATCCTTTGTCAGCCCATATCAGTGACTCAGTCATTTAAACAACATTGACAGCTATTTGGCCTGTAAAGGACATGAATATTAATGTTATCTTTTACAATGGAGGCTAACTAATCAGAGGTCAGTTTATTTGTATAACACATTTAATGCACAAAGGAAGTTAAAGTATACAAGAAGTAATAAATAAGAGCTTTTACCTGAAATATTATATGTTCTGTTTGAAAGATAGCCACTACCTATATTCATTTCAGACATGTCACGATAAGCCCATATCGTTTTGTTGACTCATTGTTCATTTAAAATTCATTAAATTATGTCTGCCACCTTATATATTTATATTTAAGGATTTACTGATGTGCCACAATAATGTCACCTAATGTTATTGAGTTAAAATATCAATATTGTGGCTTTCCAAGTTAACATTGATTGATATGACTGCGATTAAATATACTTCTGCCAGGGGATGCCACCCCTCAAAATCTCCTGCCACCCTCTTGCCACCCCATGAATATTGTTCTAGATCCGCCCCTGCGATAAGCCCATATCGTTTTGTTGACTAATTATATTGTTTTTTGACTTCTCAGAGCCTTCACGAAGAAGCAGCAGCAGATGAGCGCTCTGAGGGTGATGCAGAGGAACTGTGCCGCTTACCTCAAACTCAGGAACTGGCAGTGGTGGCGGCTATTCACCAAGGTACTGAGAACACAGATGTAAAATAAACAATAAACGTAGCCAATGGTGATCTCTGAATCTGCTGCAAAGCTTCGGTTTACTTCTATTCTCCTTTTGATTGAATTTATTTTCAGTTGTACTAGTCAAATCAAACTAGCATTGTTTTTAAATGTTCTGCTGAAATGTGATCGCAAATATAAATAGAGATATCCTTACTAATTGGTTCAGGAAGGAAAATATTTAGCATCCATGCTCACAATAGACACAAATATTTACTAAAGAAAACTCAACTGGATTGGGTCATTTAACTTTGCAATATGTTGTATGATCCCTCCATTGACTTTAGATCCTTGACAAAAGAATGAAAAATGTAGAAAGCCAGGGAATTAAATCATAAGCGATGCAGGAATTGGGACGTCCCTCACATTGACCTCTGACCCTGTTGTTCTGTGCCGACCAGGTGAAGCCCCTGCTGCAGGTGACCCGGCAGGATGAGGAGATCCAGGTCAGGGAGGCGGACCTCCAGAAGGCCAAGGATCACGTCACCCGAGTGGAGCAGGACTACACAGACCTGGACAAGAAACACGCTCAGGTAAACAAACCTCCATCTTGTTCTGCTGTCTACCCTACAATGAAAACCCCATCCTATCAATCAGTGCCTCGCTCACCTCCTCCTCCTCCTCCTCCTCCTCTTCCTCCTCTTCCTCCTCTCTTGTACACCGGTACAACGGTACACAGGGTAACCGGTGTGCTTGATTTTATTCTATTTTATACTACGTTTTCATTGTGTTTTTATTGTGTTTTTATTATGTTTTGGTGCTTTTATGACTTCTTAACACGTGGCTTGTGTGTTCATTTATCATTGTACGATTCCTATGATGATGTTTTATTGTTTTGTCAAGCACTTTGTGACTTTGTCTGTGAAAAGCGCTTTATAAATAAACTTTACTTACTTACACGTTCTAGCTGATCGAGGAGAAGTCTGTGCTGGCTGACCAGCTGCAGGCCGAGGCGGAGCTGTTTGCGGAGGCGGAGGAGATGAGGGCGCGGTTGGCCAGTCGGAAACAGGAGCTGGAGGAGGTGCTGAGCGAGATGGAGACTCGATTGGAGGAAGAGGAGGAGAGAGGCACGCAGTTGACCAATGAGAAGAAGAGGATGCAGCAGAATGTTCAGGTAAGGAGACAAAGTGAAAATAAGTGAATCTGAGATTTGAGCTTCCTTTCCCTGCGTGTTATTTAAATGGTATCCTCTTTTCAGGACCTGGAGGAGCAGTTAGAGGAGGAGGAAAGTGCACGACAGCGCCTCCTGCTGGAGAAGGTTACCTTGGAGACCAAAGTGAAGAGTCTTGAAACGGACCTGATGACTGCAGTGGAGCAGAGAGACCGACTCAGCAAGGTGGGCTTCACAGTTAATCATCTTTTGTGTTTGTTTTGTGTATCATTTTGTACACATTTCAATGCAATGCTTTGTTTTACTAAACAGGAGAAGAAACAGTTTGAAGAGCGTCTGAGTGAGGTGACCGATCAGCTGACTGAGGAAGAGGAGAAAACTAAAAGTCTGAACAAACTTAAGAACAAACAGGAGGCCGTCATCGCTGACCTGGAGGGTAAATGTCCTAATGTCATCACACAGGCAACCTACATGTGTTTCTATGAATTCTTTTGAAAGACACAACTTTAAAATGTTGAAATAAAATACAATACCTTTATCATTTATATTCTAACATTGATATATTGACTTTCAATTATTATTGTGTCATGCAAACATATTATGCCTAGCCCAAGAAGGCTTACAAGTCATTATAATTTAGAAAATAAACCAAATAGAAATAGTACAAAGCAAATGAACCATCATCTGCAACCGTGTGCAGAGCGCCTGAAGCGTGAGGAGCAGGGTCGCTTGGAGCAGGAGAAGTTTAAGAGGAGGATGGAGAACGACTCGGTGGAAGCCCAGGAGCAGCTCTCCGACCTGGGCATGCTGTCCGCCGAGCTGAGGGGCAGTCTGGCTCAGAAGGAGAAGGAGATCACCACCCTGCAGGGCCGGTGAGAGGACCGCACACGATAGACGCTGGAACACAAATAAAGCCCAATCAAAGATCTGACACCCGACACCTTTTACTTAGCGTTTTTTTAGTTGTGCATGACCATAAGCGGAACAAAACAAATGTTTCAATGTTTCTGTCAGGTTGGAGGAAGAAGGAGCTCGTCGTGCTGAAGCTCAGAGGTCGCTGAGAGAGGCCATGTCCCAGGTGTCTGAGCTGAAGGAGGAAGTGGAGAATGAGCGAGGGATGAGGGAGCGGGCGGAGAAACAGAGGAGAGATTTAGGGGAGGAGCTGGAGGCTTTGAGAACCGAGCTGGAGGACACACTGGACACCACAGCTGCCCAGCAAGAGCTCAGGTTAATGCGCACGTACATTTAGGCTCTGATTGTTCCATTTTTGTATTTCTCTTGTCAGATCAGGACTCAAAAAGAAATCGTAAAGGACAAGAATTTGACATCTTTGACCCTCTTCCTATCTCCACAGGTCTCGTCGGGAGGCGGAGTTAAATGATCTCCAGCGGTGTGTGGAAGACGGGGCTCGCCGCCACGAGGGCCAGCTCTCAGAACTCCGAGTCAAACACAGCGGTGCCATAGACAACCTTCAGGAACAGCTGGACAACAGCAAGAGAGTAAGAAGAACAAAAACACCAACTTTGTCAAAGACTCATCCACGTGTAAACATGTCACTCATCAGGCGTGGTATCCATCTTGTCTTTCAGGCACGTCAGTCCTTCGAGAAGGCCAAATCAGTGCTGGAGGAAGAGAGGCTGAATTTGAGCTCGGAACTTAAGAGCCTCCAAGCGAGCCGCACGGAGAGCGAGAGAGGTCGTAAGAGGGCCGAGGGTCAGCTGCAGGAGGTCAGCGCCCGCCTGGCTCAGGCCGACAGAGAGCGGGACGAGAAGGAAGAGAAAGTGCACAAGCTGCAGGTGCAAATGGATACAACACACTGATATCAAGCCTTAGATGTACTTGTTCAGTTGTGAATTTGTTTGTGTGGTTAAATAGAGAGGCGAAGTCCCGCCCATCTACTTCCGACCCATGGGACCTTATTTCGGAAAAATTATGTATTGAAGTCAATGGGGAGAGAAAGATTATCTTTCGATCCCGTTTGAATTGTGCCACGAATTACACATATGATGTTTGTCAATCTTAAAAAATCATTTCCGTGTCAAAAAAGTCACAGTTTGTCGTAAAACTGTTGAAATATAAGACTATGAAAAATACGCAACTGGAAAGACTACAAATCCCAGAATCCCGGTCCCGCATGCTGGCTCTTACGGAACCGACTAACTCCCCTTGTGTGTATGTACAGCTCTCAACATGCCCAGACTTCTAGTGATCTTCACCTCGTTTAATACTTTTCGCCTCATTCTGAAAGAAAGAAGTGAAATGTGCCAACGTGACGGCCATCTTGGTGTGTGGTGTGAGACGGGAGATGTAGTTCATTGAGCGGTTTCACACAAAAAAAAGTGTTACTTCACAGTTTTACGACACATTTTTAGTTTTTTGACTTGCAATATTATCTTTCTAATTGACAAACATCATATGTGTAATTCGTGGCTCAATTCAAACGGGATCGAAAGATAATCTTTCTCTCGCCATTGACTTCAATGCATACTTTTTCCGAAATAAGGTCCCATGGAGGTCCCCCGGAAAGGGAGGGACTTCGGCCCTCCTATAGGTGTTGATTTGTATGTTTTGAAGTCAGATTGAATGTTTGCAGTAGAGGGATCTTCCCGTATTAGTTCAGGTAAACTTATCCACTCTGTCTTTTTTCAGTGTGAGCTTGAGACTCTCGGCGGCAGTGTGTCCTCCTCTGACACCAAATCCCTTCGGCTGGCCAAAGAGGTCAGCAGCCTGGAGAGCCAGCTGAATGACGCAAAGGTAACACAGTGAAACACTCAGCAGAGGATTGGGCAGGTGTTTAATACGACTACAACCACAGACACTTGAGAGAATATTTATAGTTTTTAGGAAAATGTACCATTGGTGCCCATCTTGAATGAAAAACATTTGACACTCAATTTTTTCTTCTCTCTCAGGAACAACTGCAGGATGAAAGTCGTCAAAAGATGGCTCACGGCTCGAGGGTACGAGCGCTGGAGGAAGAAAAGAACGGACTGATGGAGAGACAGGAGGAAGAGGAGGAGAGAGCCAAAGAGTTAGCCCGGCAGATTCAGACCCATGCCCAGCAGGTAAATCAGAGAAAACCTTGCAGGATCATGTTTCAGTTTACCATATTTCATTTCTAACACCCCCTCATAATTCACAATATCCAAAAATGTAGATTCAACATCACTATTATGAGTTATTAACCCCTTTCTCTTTCAGCTGGCAGAGCTCCGTAAGCAGTCGGAGGAGGTGAACACGGCCGTGGAAGCCGGAGAGGAGACGCGCAGGAAACTCCAGAGAGAGCTGGACAGCGCCGTCGCAAAGGAGCGGCAGAAGGAGGAGGAGAAGGAGAGGGTGGAGCGGCAGAGGGAGCGACTGAGGGAGGAGATCGAGGACATGACCCTCGCCCTGCAGAGAGAGAGGCAGAACTGCACGGCCCTGGAGAAGAGGCAGAAGAAGTTTGACCAGGTCAGAGCCCCATCAGATTGTTTCCACGCACCAGCTTCAAAAGTCTTTCTGAGATATCTTCTCCTGACCTCTTCACTGTGTCTCTCTCACCCCCTCAGTGTCTGGCCGAGGAGAAGGCGGTGAGCGCTCGGCTAGCAGAGGAAAAGGACCGAGCAGAAGCAGACAGCCGAGAGAAAGAGACCAGACACATGGCACTTTCCCGGGCCCTGCAGGTAGACCAACTGAGAGTAGACGGTACACCAATGGTTGTTATGTATCTGCGATTGTGATGATTCATTCTCTTCTTGATCTTCTGTGTGTAGGAGGCCCAGGAAGGAAAGGAAGAGCTAGAGAGGGCCAACAAGCAGCTCCGTCTGGACATGGAACAGCTTGTTAACCAGCAGGACGACGTCGGCAAGAGTGTAAGACTCCTTCTCGTGGGACTCCTTTGTTATTTCTCTGTCTAAATCCTCAGTGAGTCACCGTCTCCTCTCTGCTCTCGCATCAGGTCCATGAACTGGAGCGCAGCCGCAGGAGCTTAGAAGCTGAAGCTCAGAACCTGCGAATTCAGACGCAGGAGCTGGACGAGGAGCTGACGGAGGCAGAGAACTCCAGGCTGAGGCTGGAGGTCAACCTGCAGGCGCTCAAGGCCCAGTTTGAGAGGGAGATCGGCACCAACGAGGAGAAGGGAGAGGAGAAGAGGAGGGCACTGAGCAAACAGGTAGAAAGGAGGAGGGAGAGAGAAACAGCAACAACACATTTTGTCATATCTCAGCGTGTCCGCGGGGTCTTCAAAAGTATTCAAAGTTGATAAATCAATTTAGCGAAAATTAAGGCTATTAAAAAGTATTAAAAAGTATTAAACGGCATTTTCCAAGGTATTACATTTTGTAGCTTGTTTTCAATAAGTATATCAATTGTCCAAAGAGGTTGTATTCTACAGTCTGCCTGAATGTAATCATTGCGTAGGTGTGTAGTGTGATTCTGTGTAGTTTATTTATGGCATCCCGTTGGATTTGACGTAATCTGAACAGGACATCGCACGCTCACTGCTTGATAGCGCGCGAAGGTCCGTTTAAGCCGGTTGTTAAGCAACATCGTTATGGGGAAATGCAAGTTTGCGTCCAAATGGTTGGAAGATAAGGAGGAAGGACATATCAATAGTAAATGTGAGGTAAAGTGTGTCGCCAATGTAACCGGTTAAAACCCGAAGTGGCGATGAGGTCTTAAAATGTATGGAAAGGGTCTTAAAAAAGGTCTTAAAAGGTATTACATTTGACTTCAGGATTCCTGCATATACCCTGTATCTTCTTTCCAAATCACACAACATGTTCTTGTCCTCTGTCCTTTGCCAGGTGAGGGAGCTGGAGATCCAGCTGGAGGAGGAGAGGAGTCAGAGGTCTCAGGCTGTGTTGTCCAAGAAGCAGCTGGAAGCAGAGCTGCAGGATGCGGAGGCCACGGTAGAGACCACCACCCGCGGAAAAGAGGACGCTACGAAGCAGCTACGGAGGCTGCAGGTAAATACATTTCCCTACGCATAAACATTGATATTCTGAACTCATTAATGGCCTGAATTTAGGTATAAAATGTAACTTTTTTTTCACAGGGTCAATTGAAGGAAGTTCTGCGCGAGCTAGATGAGAGCAAGTTGTCCCGGGAAGAGGTGATGGCTCAGTCCAAGGACAACGAAAAGAGGATCCAAACTCTGGAAGCAGAGGTCCTGCAGTTCTCTGAGGTGCGTTTATTTAACTGAAACCCAGAATAAATATAAAGATTTAATGTTTTTTAATTATTTTAAAACATCATTTGCATTTGTTCGTCTGTGTAGGAGCTCTCTGTATCAGACAGGCAGAAGAGACAGGCTCAGCAGGAGAGAGACGAGATGGCCGATGAGATGGTCAACAGCAGCTCTGGAAAGTCAGTATCCCTTCACTACAGATAACTTACATGAATCTGTGTATTGTCGGTTGGTATGTGGACTTAAATGTAATGTTTGTCCAGGAATTTGCTGTTTGAAGAGAAGCGGAGGTTAGACGCACGAGTCAGTCAGCTGGAGGAGGAGCTGGAGGAGGAGCAGAGTAACGCTGAGCTGATGTCAGAGAGACAGAGGAAGAATGCTCTACAGGTACGGTGATATACCTGCACACACACACATCCACCACTATCTCTGTGGAACCATAACATGCATGTCAGTACACATCCTCATTGTGCTGCTATCGGTTCCGAGAGTACAAACAAAACATGGAGAGGCAGCGTTTAGCTATTATGCCCCGACAATCTGGAACAAACCAAATCATGCACGTCTGCAGAAACTCTTACTATTTTTAAATCGAGACTGAAAACATATCTTTTTGCCGCTGCTTTTAATTGAGCTGCTCATATTCGCACTACAGTATGCCATTTAAACATGTATTGTTTACCTGTTGTGTTTATTTGATTATCTTTGCTTTTTAATGCCTGTTGTAAAATGCCATTATATAAAGTGTTTTTACTGTATTTATTCCTAAAAAGTATTTTAATTTGTTTTGTAAAGCACTTTGAATTGTCGCGTGCTGAAAAGTGCTATATAAATAAACTTGCCTTGCCTTGCTCGTGGTCCAGGTGGAGACTATGACGGTGCAGCTGCAGGGAGAGAGGACTCTGGCCCAGAAAGCAGAGGCGGCTCGGGAGCAGCTGGAGAGGCAGAACAAGGAGCTGAAGAGCCGGCTGGGGGAGATGGAGGGAGCCGTGAGGGGGAAACACAGACTCGGCCAAGCCGCCCTGGAGGCCAAGATCGACTCCATGGAGGAGCAGCTGGAGCAGGAGAGACAGTGAGAGAAGCACACGCGTGCCTTAGTACAGATAAAAGATGAGACGTTGGGAAGAAATACTCTTTAAAAAAGCTGCCATTCTTTTCTTTTATGTTGTTTACAAGAAGAAACTTAAACTAATGATTATAATAAAATAATAATAATAAGGGGCCAGAATGGTAGTATGGAAGGGCGGTCCATTGCAACTCCCTGATGATTTTAAACAACTTATTGGACACTTTAAATGACCAATTTCAGGGCCGGTCAGCTATCCAATCCAATCCACTTTATTTCTATAGCACATTTAAAAACAACAGAGTTGAACAAAGTGCTGTACATCAACAACTGTATAAAAACATAGCATAAATACATAAAAAACAGACAGGACATGAAACAAATGTAAAACACGAGACAATGAAACCAGATCAGAAGCCACAGACTGAATAACTCTCCTACATGACGTAAAAACAATACAAAACACGAGTAAGATAAAAACCAACTTTTAAAAGCACAAGTGTCACCTGGCCTGTAAATGCAAGGGAAAATAAATGGGTTTTTAAACGAGATTTAAAAACAGGCAGAGTTGGAGCAAGTCTAACCTATGTACAATAGTTCTAATTTAAAATGTAAGTTTTCCCCCTCAACCAGCCTTTAGACATAATTAGATGGTAATGCTTTTCCACGATCTTGAATTGCTTTGTGTGACAGATATCCTATAATGAATTTTTCTTTTTCTCAGGGAACGAGCCATTGCCAACAAACTGGTGCGAAAGACAGAGAAGAAACTGAAGGAGGTGATGATGCAGTCGGAGGACGAGAGGAGACATGCAGACCAGTACAGAGAACAGGTAAGAAAACATTCTCCACAACAGAATAGCTGAGTCAGAGATGGGGTCAGAGTCAGAATCAGAATACCTTTATTAGTCACACGGAGGGGAAATGTGCGTAGTTACAGCAGGAAAAAGAGCCACAGACAGCTTAATGTTACATATGTTAAATATGTGACATGCATTTAAAAAAAAGTACTAAGTTATGATATAATAAAAAAATATATATAATAAAAAATAAAAAGTTAGATAATTTAAAAAAATACACATCCTGTAACAGTTTTTAGGATTTAGCAGCCAGGTATATATTACACAGTTATTAACGGCATCTATATATATTGCACATAGTTTGTTGGTATTTAGCAGCAAGGGGTGATATAGGGTCAGGTAGATGGGGTCAGATCAGGTCAACTCGCTGTTGTAATTGCGACTCAGCGCACAAAGAGAGTGTTGAAAAATCATCCTAAAATGACTGATTTATCCAGTTTAGTTTAACATAATCCTAATCTCGCCCCGACATCTGTGTGTTCTTTGGGAAAAAAGAGTGTATTCCACTCCGAAAAACAAATCCATCATCCCCCACAGAGACAGTGACTCTTCCGCCAAAACATTGGTGATAATCTGCCAGGTTTAATCTGACTCCCGATCCCCATCAGCCCTCCTGTTCCCAAAGTAATCTCTCTCTTTGCTTGTTCCCCTCTCTCTTTCGCTCTGGTGTCTCACCTCTGCAATACGCTCCGTCCTTTTCCAACACTTCTCCTTAATCCTCCCCCTTTCCTCCTCCTCCTCCTCCTCCTCCTCCTCCTCCTCCTAGGTGGATAAATCGATGGTCCGCCTGAAGCAGCTGAAGAGGCAGCTGGAGGAGGTGGAGGAGGACAACTCTCGCTCCAACGCCCAGAAGAGGAAGCTGCAGAGAGAGCTGGAGGAGCTCACAGACGCCAGTCAGAGCATGGCGCGAGAGATCACCACTCTACGCAGCCAGCTAAGGTATCCGTGTGTGTGTTTTGTGTGTGTGTATGGCTGTGTTTTCTGTTTGTTTGACCATCATCATTTATGGTTGTTTTGTTTGTTTTTAACCCCCCCATTAACTCAATATGATTTGTTTTGTTGTGCTCTTGTGTTGCATCTGTTTGTGTCCATCTAACACTGACAAACTGTCCATCTGTGTCCGTCACAACATCACTCAGCCTTCCTGAATGGAGACCAGAGCAGTAGGTCCATGTGTGTGTCATGTTTTTTATTTGAGTGTTTGTTTATCTGTGGTTAATGGGTGGAGGCGCACATGCACAGTTTATTTAGTACGCGTTTTGGATGTTTTTTATTGTTTACTTTTTTGCACATTCAAGCTTTAGTTGCTCAACAGATTCCATATAGGTGATATTACAATAATAGTTGTTTATTAACTCTCACCCACCTTATGACTGACACAATCATCTTTTTCATTGATTTTGAACGACAACCATTAAAGTAATGTCGAGAAACAATGCAAGCCATTTGTCTGTTTCTAGTGTGTCATTTAGAGTTGGTCATTCCAACAAGTTGAAGTTTAACATACAGAGGATTCTGAGGGAAAGTCGTTTTGCTGAATCCTGATGAAGACAAATTGGCCTTCAGCCTCTTTACAAAAACAGAGCGAAAAACCACCAAATAAATAGATTTTGACTCTGTGGAAGTATGTGACTGATAGACAAGCTGAGCACAGGTGGAACTGATGTTTAATGGAAGGATTTCTATATCCCTTTCAAAAGAGAAAACACAATAATAGTATTTCTAGGACAAACAGAACAGAGTAGCTCAAAAAGTCTCAAAATGGCTTTATATAATCTAAAATGTGCTTTTCAAAATAAGGTGTTAGTTAGTAAGTGGACTAAATAATCAGTTTTCTCTTGCCTTCAATTTAAAACAGTTAATATGTCTTGGGTGATTTGCAGAGGCAAGTAGAGCACTACAGTTTATCATTTAAAAGAAACCTAAGAAAGCAAGGACAAGCTGTACACACTGATAGTGTAGAATTCACATAGACAAATACACACATGGTTAAGAGAATCATTTTAGCTCAGAAATATCCTTTACACATAATGGTTGTAGTGATGTTGATGAAGATACGAGTAGTTTTACAGAGAAACACACTGGACTGTCACACAGCAGGACAAACTGTAACTCTGACTCTCCTTATCCAGGCGTGCTCCGTTGCCCCTGGCGATGCGTGGACGCAGAGCGCTGGTGGACGACCTCTCGTTGGAGAACTCTGACTCTGAGGAGCCTCCAGCCTCTCCGACCCCCTCCTCTGGACCCCCGGGGACCCCGACTCCCTCCTCTGAACACAGCATGGACCCCCCACCGCCCTACAGCATCAACAATGCAGAGTGACGCACCCATAGACTCAGTTACACATAGTACACACACACACACACACACATACACACACACACACACACACATTGGCCTCTCACAGCCTCGACTACTCAGGGGTGAAGGAGTGACACGCACATGACAACACTAGTTTATAAAAGTACATTTATGATGAATACATCAGGCGCTATATCTGTACAACAACCTCACTAAAAAGAAAGTCTGAAATGAGATTTTACAAAGAGGCAACTGGAGTTCATTTTGATTTTGTAACAGACTGTGACGTAAAGAAACAACATAACAAAGACTGGAAGTTTCTACATTACATCTCTGTAAAGCACTTCTGAGAAACAAAACTATATTTCCCAGAGTTCCAAGGGGAAATTACTATCAAATAACTTCTTAATGCTGTACAGTAATTAGCAGAAAACATTATGGTGGTCTTTTACATGAGGGGGTATTTAAAAGATAAACCATGACCAAACCTTTTGATAAGGATTATATATATATGTATATGTATATGTATATGTATATATATATATATATATATATATATATATATATATATAAATAATCTGATGTCATACAGGGCTGCTGGAGGGTGATGATACAATCTGTATATGTGTTACAAAAAGTCAACAAGATAAGTCGTGTACACACATTTTAATATGACGGTTTTAAAAAAACATTAAATTAGTAACTTGAGATAATCTGGAAAACAGTTTGGGCTGGAAAAACAATGGCTGACTTTTTGGGTGAGTTAGCAAAAGAGAAATAGCATAGTAACTATTATTTAATTCAACTTTTATTGTAAATGGTTGATCAGAAACTGGGGAGAAGTTCCATCTCATATAATCTAATACTCATATCATTTGTCAGAATTGTAAAAATGCAAACATTTGACCATAAAAAGCTGCATCAAAGTTTTAATAAATAAATAAATCTTCTTTCTGTAGATTAGAAACACTAGGTCGTTAGGCAAAGGAGTAGGTAGTATTGGTTTCTTTAACTAAAAATCTTAACATATTGCTTCAGAAATGAGAATTTATATAATTTATATCCAAATGTAAATTTAAGTTATTTGACGGCTGGTTATTTTCTGTACGACTGTTCGTGTTGTGAGGAACTTAGTCTGATCATTACGCTCCTGCTGCAGTCTGCTTTACAGCATCGGCTCTCAGCTGTGAATTTGCATGAGAGAGCTTCCTGGTGGAGAACTGGTTTCCCTGGTTTAGGCCGTTTCTGGTGTATAAAATAAAAATGTATGGGTTGTCTACCACAGCGACATAACTAGGAATAACCTGTGGAGAACTGTATTGGTGGATTTTTTTTTTTTATCCAAAGCAGAACAAATTGTGACATGGATCTTTCTTTCTTTTTTTTTTTATCTTTTAGACTGATGAACACATCTCATTTTATTTTGACAAGCATCTTGTACATTGTAACTTTGATTTTCACTGATTATCTGTGTAAATTATCGATCAGACAAAGCTTTTGTGTTTAACCAAATGGTGGGCGTATGGATGAGAAAAAGGGACTTAAATAGGTAGTAATGTAGAATAGCTGTAGAGTAGATGAGAGGGTGGAGGCTGGGGAGGTTTTCTACTTTTCCTCAGAACAAACTCAGTCTCTGCTCACAGTTCCTGTGCAGAGTAACTGAGCATGAGACTCGAGCCTTTTCCAATACTTAGTATTAGATTAAAAAATGACAATGGAGGCACTGAGGAATGAATTTTTACGAAATGCAAGTTGAACAAAAAGTAGAATTTCTTTTTTACCCTGACCATTGACTCAAATTGACCCACGTGTGTGTGGTGTCTTCCAGACAGGAGCAGCTTGAGGACCCTGCTGTGAAACAGATATTGTTTTTGTGAAACCTGGATTCAAATACGTGTTTTCCTTTTGATAAAACATTTCCATTTTCCTCAGTATGTTTTATTTATTGTTTAACAGGTGGATTAATGGGCCTATTTTAATTGTATTGACCTTTATTTGCCACCTGTTTGCCTGTCACAGCTCTAAGGCTGTCCAGAATCAAATGTAATGTCTAGATTTGTGACTTGGACACAAGTTACAATGTTTTAAATATATCATTTAACATTTTGGGAAATAAGCTTTCTTGCGGATAGTAGGACGGGAATGTTTGAAACCACTTTAAGGTCTGTACAATAAAGATATAGCGACAGCAAGCAACTGGTTAGCTTAGCTTAGCAACAAGCCTGATAACATGGGTAAACAGCTAGCCTGGTTCGGACTAGCAGTAACTAATCCACCTACAGCATCTCTAAAGGTCACTAATTAGCATGTATATCTATGTTCAAAAAGTATGTAAGCAGGGGCTCCAGGAAGTCACTGCGCACGGCCAAAAAATATTCCAGCATTTGACCGAAAAATGTAAACGCAGCTTGTTGCTTAAAACACCTTGTTTTCTTTAATCCAACAGGATATAACATGACAACTGAGATTTAGAGATGCTGGTAGGTGTGATTTGTTTAACTCAGGCAGAGCTAGCTAACTGTAGCTTAGTGTGCTAAGCTAATTTTAAAAGTAACTGGCTGTAGTTTCATAGTTTTCAAACAGACATGGGAATGACAATGATCTTCTGTTCTTACTCGTAAAGAAACCTATTTCCCAAAAACGTGAAACCATTCCTTTAAATTATAAAGAATGTAACTGGTGGTTTGACTATTAATTGGCGCTAAAGAAAGATAAAGATAAATCCCAAATGTTGCTCTGTACGTTTTCTTTGCTTTCTGGTTGTTACACTCGATGGCAAAGGACTAATGATCCTGATGGTGTTGACCGTGCAGTCGTTTTCGGTAATCAGGGTTGTCATCACTGCTCCCTTCCTCTTGTTTTAAATAAACAAGTGTTTATGTTAATTAAACCACAATGCAAAGCTAACACCTGCATATCGAGAACAATAAGCGCGTATAGGGCCAACGTCCTCGTATCCATCAGACATGTAAGGCATTTTTTATTGTTTTGCCTTGCCAGGTTCACCTTGCTTCACAGTTAGTGAGAGCCGAGGTGAAGAAAGATCAAGAAAGAGTTTGAGTACTGACGACATATATTTAAGCCCTATTAAAGGGTTTCATTTTGTACAATGTTATTTTAGCAATATGCAATTGATTTAGGTTGACGCTGTGTTTTTTATTTTAAGATATTGTGTAAACGCTGCACTTTACACATTACAGAACATCATGTCTGCTGTCCGGTTGTAATTTAAAGAGGGCGACATTAACCATAAAGCCAAATGAGCTGACATCACGTGTCAAAGACGACGCAATCTGTCACTCTGAACTGTTCATTTAAACGTCGTAATCTCAGAATGTCGTTCCAACGTCTAAACGTGGCGCCGTCGCTCGCGCCTTGATAGACCGCAATCTGAAGACATTGAACTGTCCGCCTGTAGCAAGAGACGAGGCCGGTGCTTCTCTAGGTGTTGTTTTTCTCTCTGTGTTTCCTTATGGCTACTGTGGAACTTGAAACATTTTGGGAAAAATTTGTTTTATTGTTTTAGCCTTTTTTTGTTTATGATGCTGTAATTATAAAACATCTGACTGGGTTAACTTTAATATATGTCGTTGGTTTTGATCTTTTGTGTTTCTGTGTTTCTTTGACAGCAGACTAATTTACTCAAGTACAGCACTTAAATATACATTGGAGGTACTATTTTATGCTACTTTATACGTTTACTCCACAACACTTCAAAGGGAAATATTTTACATTGTGCTGCATTATATTGGTTTTATTTAGTTCTTTGCACAACATTTAAAGCAGCGGAAACAAAACAAAGAAAAGGAAGCACATTGTGAAGGAATCTCATCTCAATATGTATTATGAGCAAAAACAAAAGTAATGCAATTTACACAAACAAACAAAATAAGTAACCTAATTATACAACAAATACATTAATACATTAATTTACTGCAATGTATAGCCTACTGTTGAAGTAAAGCTCTTACATTCTTTTTTTTTTTACAATATAAATATATTTACATGGTCCTTTTGCATTCTGCCAATAATACTTATACTACTATAATACTTATTCTTGTAATCCCCCCCACAAACACACACACACACACACTATAATACAGGAATAATTAGCATTACGATTTTGTTTATTGTTATTATAAATATGTGTCACCACTTTAAACATTTCATACTTAGGCAATCAAACTACTACTGTGAGCAACACACAAATCACATGGCACAAAAAACTGTTAAAAGCTTAAACGTAAAAATACAAAAGGTTTGGTCCAAAAAGAGAACAATTAAATTGTTGATTTAGGATTTACTGTACATGATTAAATTAAATATTACAATGAAAGCATACTATTAATGCAATACAGAATACAGTGTCATTTTCTTTTTAAATAACACTAATAATATATATTAGTCATTTTACTTGATACTCATCTTGCAGCTGGAGCTTCTTTTAAAAATGTTTTTAGTATAATTACATAACCATATCTTTCCAGTGCACCTTCTTTTAAATAAATGATAAGAGCTAGGAGTCTGAAAGCTAATCACCCCCAAAAACTGCCTTAATATTACATATTCATATTATTTCCACTTTCACTTACTTGATAATCTTTTGATGAATTTCAGTCATGAACTACCAATATTCAATATATTTTGTATCATTTGTATCTTTCAAATACAGGGGAAAAGATGTGTTTACTATAGGGGGATCTTTTGTCAATAATAAGCATTAAGCATTAAGACTTTTTTATGCTGTCAGATTTTCTTTTAAATATAAAGAAACCTCCCCATGATTATCTTAAGAGACACAATGTCCCCTCTAAAAAACTGCTATAAAAACATTTTATATCAATATGATTTTTTACTTTCTCTGAGTTCTATTTCTAACAATATAAGACAAACCCTTGCCAAAATGTATGCCTAACACAACCAAAATAATTAAAAAGGAAAGATAATGATGTTTTCCTAGCAGTTTGGTGACCTCCTGTCCTTTAAAATGTCAGTGAACAGCCAGTCATCCTCATGCAGTGGTGTTTGTATAGGACGGTGCTCTGGAATATGAAGTGGGACAGGGAATGACTGAGCAATTCCCTCAAATGGTATAAAGTTTTGGTTATTTTCACAATTTACCAGCATACCGGGACTCTCCTCCTGAGGACGCTGGTACGTCTGAAGCTCTGAGGCGTTGTATTGGTAGCCGATCAATGTGGATGTTGGGAGCTGGGCGATATTTGTCTCTTGGTTTGCCTTAAAATTGTTAAACTGTGTCTCTTCAGCGTCTTCATTTTGTCTCTGTGCCTGCAAGCTCCACTGGAAGTTGTTTATGCGCAACGCCTGATCCCCATGATAACTGTATTCATATCTGTACTCGCCTGTCTCACCGTGTTCATCCTCCACCTCAGAGCTTCTTAAAATATCTGACTGATCTGCAAGTCCAACATCATCAGCACCGACTTCCTGCCCAGAGTCACCTTGGCAGGCACAGATACTTTCAAAATAGGCCTCGACATCCATGCAGCCTTCGAAGTCCTTACTGCCAACACTGAAAAGATCCATGATATCTGCCCACTGACTCTCTGAAATGTCAGCGATGCTCCTCTGGGCCTGAGGGGAGATGTCTGTGTACATCTGGATTGAGAAGTCGCACGACGAGTCCAGAGACAGAGGAGAGAGAGAAGGAGAGATGTCTGTGTTTTGGTTGAAGTGGATGAAGCCAGAGTCCTGCTGAGTTGAGTCTTCAGAGGAGTTGTTGGCTGACTCCAGCTGACTTTCACCGTCGTAACACTCAGAATATAAGAGCTCTTCCTCGTGGTGATAGTCTATGCCTTGTTGGGAGCCCATATGTAATAATGATGATGATAGGGGAATGTCTTTTTTCTGTCTTTCTTTGCTGTTGTTCTTCTTTTTAGCGTTGCTGGTGGTGGGCTGTGATTTGGGATGTCTCTTCCAGAGAGATCCTGAATCCTGCTGCTTCTTTTCACTGATTTCAATGTTAGTGAACATGTTGCTTTTAGATTTAGAGATGCCTTCTGTGTGAGCGCTGCATTTATCTGGCTCTGGTAGATCACCACCTTGAGCTGGGCTCCCTGACCGGTCAGCTGTCTCTGGTTTCTGTGATGTTGGAGAGGATGTGTTTTTTTCTTCTTCCTCATGACAAAGAGAAGATGCCAGCCGGTGGTTTGCTGCTTCTATGTCTGCAAACTTTCTGTAAAGAGACAGACGAGGAGAAAGATCAAACATTGAACCACAGCAATTTTAATGTAATCATAAAAAACTGTTTTAATGTTGATGGATAAAAGCTTTTTTGCTCTTTGGAAATATTACTCTCATGTTTGCACGTTAACATGACGCAGTTAATGATCCAGTTTACCACAAAGACTATAAAACCAATTGTCCAACAGAACAATCTGCCATCCAACAACACGTTTAAAAAAAAAAAAAGTGTTGAAGACAACATGTTGTGGTTTTACCATGGATGGACTATATATAAAGGTTTTACAGGGAGTTATGTGTTACCTGGGTACAGTGACTTTCTTTTGTTTTATGATTTTATAAGTCTGTGTGCCAAGATAAGCTAACAGGCTGCTTGCTTGATCTTATAATACTCACCGTACAGATAACACAGTTGTATGAAGCTTCTAATTCTTGGCAAAAATGTAAAAAAGCATATTTCCAGAAATGTCAAACTTTGACATTAAAATGAAGCAATTTCTACTTGTGAGACATCTTCAAAAAGAGATACTCTGATAGGTAGCCAACACACCTCTGGATCATGTTTTGCAGGAAGCGCCGGTGGTTGACCTGACGTTTGGACGGCCGGTTCTTCCTGGGCTTCTGAAGAGTCCTCATCATGTGACCCGCTGCTGAGGTCACAAAGGTGTAGAGGTCACGACCCCACGGGACGCCTCGCTCCAACCCGGGCTCCAGAGTCACAGAGAGGAAGGGTCGCATGGCTGCAAGAGAGAGAGCGGGGCTAGAGTGAGAAAGAGAAAGAGACACGAGGACATAAGGACATTAAAGGTCCCATGTCATGGCCTATTCTACTGATCATAATTCCATTGTTGAGGTCTACTAAAATAGATTTATATTGTGCAATTTTCCAAAATCGCATTGGTTTCTCATACAGCATCTCTGTATAGTATGTGTATTCACTCTCTGTCCTAAACAGCTTGTTGGAGCTCCTGCCCCCCCCTCCCTATGAGCCCAGTGGCCGTCTGCGAGACAGCGAGACACAGCGAAACCCAGCCCGAACACACACACACACCCGCAGCCTGGCTGGGAGTTTGTGTGTGTGCACTGCTCACACACCGACTCACAGCCTCGCCGCGTCCCGCGGTCTCAGGGAGGAGAAATCGGCGAAGCTGCAGCTGAGAAAAGATTGAGTGTGTTTGTGTGAGGAAGTCCGCGGATTGGTCCATTTGGACCAATCCACGGACTTAACGTAACGGCTCAGCGGACGTAACGTAACGGCTCCACGGATTGGTCCATTTGGACCAATGGGTCCATTTGGGTATGGGCACGTCACTGTACCCAGGAAGAAAAAGAGAAATCTCCAACGAGGCGTTCTGGGGCAGCATAGACAGGTATTTTCTGTGTTAGAGTTTTACTCGCTACAGGGTGTAATTTGAGGGTTTGTGACTTTGCAGACCGTTTACATGCATAAAAACCTTCATAACACACAAGGGGACGGTTTAATAACCGGAAAAGCATGACATTAGCACTTCTTTATTAAATATTATGAATATGTCTTTATTATCAGGCTATGTTCCACAATCATTCAAAGTAGCAGTGATAAAACCTCTTCTTAAAAAGCACAACCTCGATCCAGAGGTTTTAGCCAACTATAGACCTATTTCTAATCTTCCGTTCCTCTAAACATTTCTTGAGAAAGCAGTCGCAAAACAGTTGTGTGATTACTTAAAAAACAATGATTTATTTGAAGATTTTCAGTCTGGCTTTAGAACACATCATAGCACAGAGACAGCTCTGGTTAAAGTCACAAATTACCTTCTAATAGCCTCAGACAAAGGACTTGTCTCTATTCTTGTTTTGCTCGATCTCAGTGCTGCATTTGATACTATCGACCATGATATCCTATTGCAAAGACTAGAGCACTTAGTTGGCATAAAGGGAACTGCTTTAGGCTGGTTTAGGTCCTATCTAGCTGAGCCGTGGATGCACTCCGGCATACTGACCGCCATGAAAACCAGAGACAAAAAATGCTCTGAGTTTCATAAAAGTCAGTCAATGCTTTCCAAAAGCACGAGCAGTGAACTCCAGGCCCACGTGACTGAACTAAAAATTGAAAGAAACAGACTAAGAAATGACGTAAGCTCCATGATCAAAACTGCCAAAAAGAATTTCATCAATGACAAAACTGAGGAAAACAAAAATAAACCCCGTGAACTTTGGAAATTACTCAATAACCAGCTTGGCTGCAGTAAAAAACTCAAAACGAGATTTTCAAACGTAAACATAAAGACAGATAACAGGCTCATCACAGACAAACTGGATGTGGCCAAGTACTTGAACATTTTTTTCACAAACATAGCCACAACTCTTGTAAATAAATTACCCTCCCACTCAGGGC